ATGTCTGTTGATGTCCAGCCCACCAGCCCGTTCACGCCGTCACCCACGCCAGTAGGAGCTCCGTATGATCGATAAATGGCTGTTGGTTGTTGTTGGCTGAGACTCGGATTTCTTCCCTATTTCTTTTTTTTTTTTTTCTTATTCGCTTGGAGCGTATCAAACCAATAGTCAATGGATCTTGTGCATCTGAGAAAGAGATCCCCTGCGTCCGACAGTGTTCGTTACACAGTAGTGGCGGGGGTGAAGAGGCGAGGAAAGTTGACGACCTGTGATGGAATTGGACCTATTTTTTCTTACTCTTCTTTTCTTTTAACCGGAGCTTCGAACGTCTGCTCTGAAGTGCGAACGGCCTGGACGAAGAGAGCGATTAGGGAACTTGAGTGGTTTGGGATCTGGAGACTTCCCCAGAAAAAAAACTCTCTCAATGCCCTCCACTGCAGGAACCATGGCTCCCAGAGAATAGAAATATAATTTAGGGGCTCCATCCCAAATCGTCGTCGTCTTCATCCCCAAAGAAGCTCCGAGAAATCCTGGGACGAAATCCATTTTATATGCACTATGCCATTCTTGGGGGGGCATCAATGCAGGTGATTGGGATAGTGGCCCCACAGCCTTTCTGAGAAATCGAAAGTCTAACGAAGGTACCCCTGTCGGCTCTGTGGGCGCTAACGATGCGCCCTCGACACATCCTCTTGTCAGCTAGCGCCGTGAAGACGAGCGGAAAAGCAGAGGGAGGAATTTTGCAGGGAGTGAAAGAAAGAATTCCCCCTTTTTCCCCAAAGCAAAGGGACAAGAGAAAAAAAAGGAAAAAAAAGAGTTTTGCCCACTGAGGATCATCACCACTTCTTGGTCGGAACCTTGCGTGTGAGGTATCGACAGTGTATTTCTGAGAAAAATAAAGGCTGGTACCAAAATTTACTTTGTCCAGCAACCACATGAGTCGAGTGTTTTTGCTCTGTTTCCCTCCCCCTCCCCCGTTGCTCAGTTCCCTGCTGGTATGGGTATGGGTTGAATGTGCCCTCTTCCAAGAGTGTGGAGTCACAGAATGAGACTTTGCGGTCTTCGCAACCCCGGCAGCTCTGGGGCAGTCTCAAAACAAAGGGAGGTGTACCAGGTCCAAGCAGAAAAGTCACTGAGAGATGTAACATACCGAACACGTAACTTACCATACGGAGCGGTGACGGCCTGTAACAAGGCTGTATCCATCCTGCGCTCCAGCAGGGCAAAGCGTACCTGTACCTTGTACCAGCCAAACCGCCGAAATCCTCTGCTCCTCCAAAAAAACTGGTCTCCATCAAACCTCTGGACTCCACCCTTCAAGTCGCAGCGGTATGTCCTTATTATTACATCCAAACGAATCCCATGAATCGTGTGCCTTTCCTCTTCTCCTCCGTCCCCTCCTCACTCCCCTTCCACGATTGACTTCAGTCTAAATAGACGTTGCATCTTTATTTTTTTTTCTTCTCCCTTTCTGCTGCTGCTGCTGACTTGCCGTGTTTTGTTCCTGTTCTTCCTGGTTCCCAGCTTCTGGGTCTCCTTTGCCTCCCACACTCTCACACCCCCGGGTCCCATCCCATACATAAAACATTCGGCTCAGCCCGCCCCTTCGATACAGAAGTACTACTAATAATTATAATGCCCTTCGCCCTTCCCTCAAATCATCACTTGAAACACCTGCTTGTATATTGAGCCATTCCCGTGTGCCTGATAAACAGTCAACATACCACTCCCGATCTTCCCCCTTCGTCAATCTTCGCCGATCTGCTCATCATCAACACATCATTCCAGCTCAGCAGGTACTCTCTTTCAACCTCTTGTGTGTTTCTCAGCCCGTCTGCGCGCAGGCTCTTGACTCGTGTTTGTTCTTGCGCCTTGATATCTTCTTCCTAAGGCAGTGGGCATTGTACTCTGGAAACGCGAAAAGAGCGAGCAAAAGAGACAAGAGGAGCAGCCGTGGGAGTACATGGGCGGCGGAACACGCACAGTTCACTTCAAAAGACACGTCAAGTTCGCGGAAGCAGCAGTGTTGGTCGATCCGATCGTCGTCACACATTGAGCTATTGGCCTGCCTTTTTGTGTTTTTTGTATTTTGCTCTTGTACCAGGAAGACAGTGCAGTCCCCAGCATCAATCGCTTGCTGGAATTCCCCGCGCGCATTCAAAGCCTAAAAGAACGTGTGACCTTTTATCCACACCGTCTTTCTCGATGACGATGGTTATGGAGAGTGGAAGTCGCCAATACGGCGCGCTCAGCTACGACAGCGTCTATCACAACCACAGTCGCGCCAATCCGCCACACTTTGGCGAGGCATGGCCCACCCACAGCGCTTCGCACCCACAGAGCTCCGTCTACCAGCCGACGGTAGCGGGCAACCCGGTGGGCATCAAGCGAGAGGATGTATCGAGGCCGCCCACAATTCCCGTGTCTTACTCAAACGGGCAAGTCCCTGCACCGGCCATGGTCCCCAACGGGAACTACAACAGTGTGGGTTATGGGACTTCCGACCTCGTTGTATTACCTCCGGAGCTTCCACGGACAACCTTTGAGCAGACACAGCCCTGTACGAGTGCACCGCAAATGACTTCGTTTACGCCGGCGAATTATTCGTCGTTGGAGTATGCGCAGTCATTACATTTGCATCAGCAGCAGCAACAGCAGCAGCAGCACCATCATCAGCACCAGCCACCACACCACGCATCGCATCTGGAGGTACGAACGGTTCAAGGGTCAGTATTTTCCAAAATGGATTTTTATCTCTGTCAACGAGACGAGGACTTGAGCTCATGCGCACTTAAATAGGACCGAGGCGTCACCTCATGCGACACAACCGCCGCAAGTGACTTTTAGCGATGCTCTAGATGCAAGCCGTGGCATGGTTGCTCTGAGTCAAGACCTGACACCTCGTGCTATCTACGGTACTCGAAGCTCGCGAGGGTCCGTAGAATCGTACGGCTTTCCATCGACACATTCATCCGCTTCCTCTATTTCGTCAGCAGGTAACTATCCGTACTACAGTGCGTCTGTTTCCGTAGACTCGTCTGTCACGGACTACAGTTCAACCACTTCAGATTCATATGACGGCTTATCGAGAACACTCCCGCGACCGTCTGGCCTTTTGGCGGGTGCTCTTCCCCCACAGTCTATGATGGGACAATTCAGCTCCAAAGTGCCATCGAACACGCAAAAGAAGCACAGATGCAAAGTCTGCGATAAGCGATTCACTCGTCCGTCTTCTTTACAAACACACATGTACAGTCACACAGGTGAAAAGCGTAAGTTCCTTCAAAACAATCGCAAGTCCTGGTTGTTTCAACAATTCTAACATTGGACGAATAGCATATGCCTGTGAAGTCGAAGGTTGCGGACGACACTTTTCAGTTGTATCCAATCTGCGACGCCACAAGAAAGTGCACAAGAACGACAAGGATTCGGGCTCCCCAGAAGAGGACGCTTAGCCGGTCCTCCAACAACTCACGCTTGATCATAAATAGAAGGCTTTCGTGTATAGCACTTTTTGATCCGTCCTATTTCACACCCCGCCTTTTACGATGCTGCGCTGCGATAACGGTCTACCGGATTACCTTTTTCGATTCTCGACTTTTATGTCACTAATACCTTGTACCATAGCCGTTTTTCCCTGTCTTTTTCTTCCGCCCGTTTTTAATCCTTTTATATACCCAACCTGAGCAGTGATTTAAGATTGCATTACATCTGATACCCGATGTCGAGATATTGCAAAGTTTTTTTTTCCTTTTCCCTTTTTCTTTCTTATTCCTTATCCTATGGAGGTATATAGGGCAACGGGAACCAGGCGGCACTGGATCAAAAGCAGAATCATTCTATACACCAACTACTTTCCCTCTCCTGTCTCAGATAGAGTGCAACGCTTTCCTTTCCTGTCCACTCTATGGATCGGCATTGATGACCCATTTGTGTTTTCGTTGATGATATACCATTGACTCTTTTTATATGCTTATATACCCCCCCTCGCTAGATCAGGGTCCATCGCTTTTTGTTCACGTGCCATACAGCATCTCGCGCTTGCTTGGGTGTTTTCCTGGGTTCATTTTCTTTTCGATTCTGTTGCTTTCATTTTCTGGACGGATTGGTTGCCGGATACCTCGGCGCTGGGACTACCTCGTTTTTTTGGGGGTGGGGATTCGTATATCAACTGCGCGATCTTGGATTGTTATTTTCTGTTGCGTGTTTGTGAATAAGTTTGCTGTTTTCAATTTAGGATTGGTATACTTGGTAGGCATATTTTGGAGCAATACAGAGATGCTTTTTTGGATACAGTCTTCGTCCCATTGTTTGGTATCCATGACAGACCGTGGGGGGGTGTGTTCAAGTCGCCTCTTTTTTCTTTTCTCCCCATCGGAAAGAAATATTTTCGCCTCTTCCTCCTTGCGTCATCAACGTCGTGTATTCGCGTAAAAGCACCTGGTTTGTCTGTGGCCCCTGCTATTAATGTTACGCACCCTGGCCGGTACCTGCGTTCTCTCTCGTCAATCATGTGTGTGTTTCCGAGATCGAGCGCGCCGAGCCATCTCTCGGAAAACAATCGAGAATGCTGCTCCTTTGGACACCCTGTTCCCGTGAATCAACACGAGGAAAACAAAAAAAAACGAGTTTGCTTATCCAAGCATTTTTTTTTCTTTTCTCTTCTGCTTCCGTTTGTACGGAGTAATGGTGTTGACATTCCATCATTTTTAATCTTTTAATTTTTGTTTGCTTTCGTGCTGCAAGTTACATACAAAATGTTAATGGATCCCACAGAAGCTACTGTAGCATGTGGGAACACAAACATACATACACACGCATTCTCTTAATTAGTTAGCCATGCGGGGTGTAGGACAGTTCTGATCAGTGATCGAGATCCTTCTTGAGGGACATGATGGCATGTAACCCCATCCCTGCTGATGAAATCCTTTCTTCTTCTTTTGGGAAAACGTTGAACAATTGTCAATGCATGCAGGCAAAGGGCCCGGCAGACCACGCGGGTCTTCTCTTTTTCGCCTTTTGCCCTGCAAGAAGTCAAGTAATTTTTTGAGAATATGCGCTTTGGTCCCACCCTCCTTCAAGGGACTTGGTGGTTTGGCCGTGCAGGTTATCCGCACCCCGGTTGCCATAGGAGGTGGCCCTGCAAGCAACCCTAACTTCTGTCTTGTTTTCGCCGCGCTGCTGCTGTATGCGGCTTTTTATCAATGCTGCTTCCCCACGGCGGCGTGCATATAGAGGGGGGGGGCAAAAGAAGGCTACATGGGTGATGTCGGCAGAGAATGCGAAATTCAAGAAAATGCTGATAAACGCTGCGTTTCTTGGAGTTCATTTTTTTCGGCCTTTCCGTAGGATTTGGGTAGGCCCATGCCGTTTGGGCCCTTTTTGGTACCTAATCTACTCGTGATTGTTTGCTTTTCTCGATTTGTGAGGGAATGCTGGTCGTTGGTGAGTTGAGAATTCTTTTTCGGTCCCTGAGAACTTAGAAGTGGTTGACTTCTGGGAAGTTTACCGGCAACCAGTCTCCTGAGAAATGGTCGCCATCGATTAGTACTAACAAGCTATTCGTGGTAGAACAATCGGTATTGTCGAACGCCCAAAGGATTGCAACATCCAGTGCTAGTAGCTGGCTGGATTGGTAGGTACGTGACACCCGATACCTATTATCCCCCGAAGACGCTGCTTTACAGTATGGCTTAAATTTGCCGCCCACGTGTCCTGCCCCTTGCTACTGATCTCCTGCTGCAATAGAGACACCCCGGTGTCAACCCCCTACCCGTTTTTCATCTCGTGGTCAATTCCATTTCTCAAAGGTTTGCGGTTGAGCCCACTGTCGGTGCGATACCTATTCCCCAAACTGTGAATTCGGGGTGTGATGGTTACTTCGAGTACGCCAGACATGCAGGATTTGGAATGCATGTGATGCCGCTCGTGGCAACCACGGAGTACGACGTAGCGATGCCGACTCAAAAGCCGATCGTGCGAGAAGGTCGCTTTGAACGTTGTAGGGGAGTATGGCCAGTACTTGCGTATAAAAGATTGGCTCCTACGGTTTCGAGCGGTCAGCAACGGGAACGAAATCATATCACAAGGTTTAACCCATCATAATCCGACTCTCTGCGAGCCCAAGTGTCCCGTCAGTCCAGTCGACGAGACGAAGTTTGTATTCCGACCGTTGATGACAACTTTCGAGATTACATAAACCACCGGGATGAACGGAGTTTTATTCCTGCGGTTCCGAAACGCGGGGAAACAGCTTGGCACTGGAATGCTCGTCTTTCATTGGCTACGGCATTTTCGTGGTCTTGGCGCCCTTGGACTCGGGATTTTCCGAGTTTCTGATGCCGAACAAGTTGCAGAATCTGTATGTTTGGAAGATGGCAGAGCGGAAGAGGAAGATTGGTCTACCATTCATATGGCTCCTTTCTATGCCGGTCAAGCCACTTTGTCAACGGGCCAAATGCACTGGCTCATAAATTTGACTTGGCACGGAGCCTAAGCTTCATGCCTCGCGAGTTAATGTTTCCGGATGTCCTAAATACCGACAGCCGGGAGGCCAGACCTTGGAGACAGCCGAATGGTGTGCTTTGAAGAGTTGAGACGGGAGAGAGATGTGTCTGACGATAAACGCTTGTCGCCACCGCCATGTGGTTGATCTTGTTTTCGATATCCATGAGAAGTGCGAACAGCTTTCGTTCTCGAGCCCTGGATAAATCGGTGGCTAGATTGTCGAGCTCGAGATTTCGCGAGCGTGATTTCGACGTCTTGAAAGCTAATATCGGCCTTTCAGCGCATCATGTCAGTAGCTCCCCACCCAAAGCCGCTGGCTTGAAGCCTAGGCATACCTGTGCTCTGCCCTTGTTTCTGCTTTCTATTTCAACCCGTCCCCTCTTGACCTCTACTTACTTCCAACTACACATGCAGTCGGACATAACCATGCTCAGTCAAAAGTCCCAACAAGAAAAGCCGCAAGGCCACCAAACCCAGGCTGTGAGCCAATCTTCTTCTAACCAACGGTTTCCTAAGATGGATCCTGCGCAGCGGCCGCGAAAGCGTGCGCGGATGGCGTGCATATGGTGCCATGAACGGAAGGTCCGTTGTGATGTCTCAATCCATGGGAGTCCGTGTACCAACTGTCGGCTGGATGGCCATGAATGTGCTATTCGTGCGAGTTCAAGTAGAGGGTGAGCTGTGCGTCTGGTGCCCGAGGTTCCTTGAAACTGACAGCTTATGTCTCCCAGGCGTGGAGTGAAGATCCCTCCAGCAGCGGACACTGCTGCATCAAATGCCCTTGTCCACAAGCCGAATCAGGCCGTGTTGCGAACTGTCGAAGAAATGATTCCAATTCCAGAGATACCCCAATACACAGACCAAGTACTGCAGGATCGGTTTTATCCACATCTATGGGATGAGAGTATGTTTCTCCTAGCAATTCTAGTTGATGACAATGAAGAAGGGTTCATCTTCCCTCCCAATTGAGCCCTTTGCTTATGCTCCCCCACTAGGAGAAATTCCATTCGACACCTTCACCGCATTAGAAGCTCAGATCCCAAAATTCGGCCTTCAAACCACCGAGTCTCCGCGACACAATTCAAATGTGGTTTTTTCATTCTATCGGTTCCTGGAACTGAGCGACCTGCCAAGCTTACCAGCGGAGGATGTCAAGTATCTAGAATTGAAGGGGTGTCTACATGTGCCTGCGGGTCCGATTCTCGACGAGTTTGTCCGGCAATATTTTTTGCACGTCCATCCATGTCTCCCGGTTATTCATGAGGGAGATTTTTGGCGGTCGTACTACAACCGGCCCGGGCACTCCGGGAAGCCTCGTACAATGTCGTTGTTTGTCTTTCAAGCAATGCTATTTGCAAGTTGCGCGGTATGTCCCTTTTTTCTTCCATTTGACACCCTGGTTAGCTAACGGTAGGTAGTTTGTTCCCTTTCGCATCATCAATGCGGCTGGGTTTCCCGATACGCGAACGGCTCGAAATTTATTATACAGCCGCGCAAAGGTGGGTTATCTACCCACAATAATCAGAATATAGTTTTATACCTGGCTGACACGGACTTCTGAGGTAGCTGCTTTACGATCTGAATGCTGAGCATAATATATTATCTAAAGCCCAAGGTTCTGTGCTGCTCACTTACCAGAGCTCCTCGGTAAACCTCCATGCTGGCAGTTTGTGGCTCACAAGTGCGATTCAAAACGCATTGCTTTTGGAAGCACACAATTACCATAAGCTCGACCATAATGATCCGCTTCGCAATACAAAGAAAAGGCTCTGGTGGTCTATCTTGCTAAGAGACAGAATCTTGCCCCTAGGCCTGCGGCGCCATCTCCAGATCAGTCGCCCGAATTTCGACTTGTCTTTGGATTATATGAATGAAGACGACATGCAGGAGGAGATATATTGCTCCGAAGTTTACAACGTTGAAACTAAACGCCACTTGACGAGAGTCCTCAATCTTCAGTGTCAACTTGCAATGGTTCTCACAGGGGTGGTGACAACCGTCTATTCAGCTAACGGTTTCACGCAGCCACGACCAATGGCTAAAACAGACCTTGAGAAGAGTATGGCCGATATTGTGAAGTTCAGAGAGGACTTGGCAGAATGGGCAAATGATGCAAAAGTAGCATTCAACCCCTTCTCTGGATCGAATAATGTACACGAATCGGTTATTCTCTACTCGGAATTGACCTATATGTACTATCAGTATGGCGTCCTAACCCCAGTTCTGAATTGGAATATCGCCTTATAACCATGATCTAGTTCTGCCCGCGTGGCATTATGCCATTATGAAACTTTGGTGGTTGAGGCCAATCCTGAGCTCATATCCGGTTCCTATGAAAAACGGCTTGAAACTATCAAGGACGAACTGGAGAGCGCAGCGTTAGGAATAACAAAGTGTGTCAAACGGTTGTTGGCGCACGGTGTTGCACGCCATCTTCCCATCAGCGCGTAAGTAACATCTCTCGACTCTGCACAGCAGGCTCTTATTATATTTCCAGGATCGCTTATACGGCACTGCCTCTCGTTTTAATCGCCCTTGACGTCAAACTTTCGGGATCTGTGTCCCAATCAGCTACCAGAAAACGGAGATTACGATATTATGCGGAAATCATGCAGTTGTACCGAAGTCGATATGACGGAACGGATGACGTTGCAGTATATATACGAGAAATCCTTCAGTTTGCGGAAACTCAAAATTTGTCCATTTCTATCCGACCGATGAAAAGTACGTGTGGTCTATCTTCATGGTTTTGAGAGTGTGTCATTCTGACTGCAATATGTGTAGGTGACGATTGCGCCCCTGTGCAAGAAACAAGGGGTTGGGCGGAGGTGTTTGTTAGACAGCCACGTTTTTACCTGCGCATGTCCCTTACTCTTGATTATGCCCTTGCTCGGGGTCGATATCCTCAGGACAGTGACCTTCCGGTTCTTGTTCGTGAATTGCCGGTAAAGGGTGTTTTATCATCCACCATCTCAAATATTGCGCGGGTTCAAGAAGTCACCACAGAAGCCTCCAAGCAAGATTTGGAACAACCGTCGACCGCCACCGAATCATCATCGCCGAAAGTAAACATCAGTCGCAACGCCGATGGCGCGTCCATGGTCGACGTGCTGCCTGCCACCGAAGCTCTGTCATCCCCGACAAATTCATCACCAAACGAAGTCAGCCCGACATGGCCAGGCCAACGCCAGCACCAGCGGTCAACATCTGTTCAGTCTCATTCTGCCCGCCAGCGTTCACTATCTCCACCGCGCCAGAATTTTCAGGACATCAATTTGGATTTTTTGGACCTTGGATGCGCGCAGAGCATGGAAAACGTACAATATCCTGAGGAGACCGGAGTGAGCGGTGATATTGACTGGGCGAATAATATGCTGGATGAAATTTTGAGCGCGATTCCGGCATAGCGGGGATATGTCGCCCACTTATGTCAACTGGAGTTGGTAGGGTATACGAAGCTGTGGGAAGGGTAATGAGGGATTTTCTCTTTTGGATTTGGTTTAAGGAATGAGACTTGTTTACTCCGTATTTCCCACAGGATTGGCCGTAAATACTCGGTTTTTGCTTTGGGTGTGTGTTTTTTTTTAAAGTGATATCCAATTATGCTGATAATGATAATGCGGTTGTTTGAGCTGTTTGATATAATTGAATTGGGCTTGAATGCTGTTGATGTTCTAATTTACTGACACTTGCACCACCGTATTACTCATTACTCATAAGTGTCACACGCAGTGATTAGTCAATTAGTTCTCTGTGAAGCAGTTGTTTTGAATAGCTCTATTTTATATCTGAACTATTAACCATTGAAAATAGAGAGAAGTCAACAATAGAGGACCATGAGGTTCGTGGAGGGTTATTAGACTGAGATACTTGTGCTAAAGTATCGGGTATTGGTTGTAGGGGGTGTGGTAGGAACAATCAGAACTTGGAACAAAGCAGATATAACGCAAAAATCTTGCTCCGCTCGTAGAAAAATAGAGTATGCGGCGCGTCTAACGGATCCGGTCCAGCCGGGAACGGTTCATATGAATCTGGTCGTCGACAGAGTCGCTCTGAAGGATCGTGTTGTTAGTAGGGAGGAATTTTTGAGGGCACTGGAAAGAAGCGGACATACCTTGCCCATGATGACATCCAGGCGAGCGTTTTGCTCTTCGAGCTCCCTGCCAGTAGCCCTCGCAAGACCATTGAGTCTCGTCGCAGCGCCATGGAGTGCATCAAGATTCGACTCAATCTCATTCTCCATCTCATCGTCCTCGCTATCTTGCTCAAATTGATATTTTGATCTCTCTGCAAGATTGGCTTTTGACTTTGGCGCTCCGGGCCGGCTCTGTTTCTCCATCTCCTTGAAGGTTTGGCCCAAACGCTGCTCTGTGCGAAATGCAGCTAATCGCGTTTCTTCACGTTGCAACCGTTCTTCCTGATGCCGATTGATAATCGCCTCATCGCGGGCTTTGCGGCGCTCTCCGCTTGTGAATGGGTTCGAAACATGCATCGCAAACATACTTTTATTAAGTTTTTTGAGTTCTCGAGATTTTTCGTCCGCAATACGATTTTGGTTTGCAGCGAGATCGAGATTCTTTTCTGTGTTGTGAATTCGTTCTCCTTGGGCACCGAGGCGAGCGAGAGTGTTGCGGCCGGTTTCTTCAGCTTCAGCAGCTACACGGAGGGCATTGCGAGTGGAAGACACGTCTTGCTGTTTCATAAAGCGGATTTCCTGTTTCATGGCTTGGACGTCTTCTTCCTCCTCCTCCTCGGCAGTAAGTTGCCTATCCTGATAGGCACCATAACCCCCAGAAGTAGTACCTGTGCCACCGCTTTCACCTTGCCCCCCATGGGCACTGTATGGCGGCGGGAGACCATCGTGCTGCTGTTGCCGTTCCTGTAATCGCTGACGGGCATCTCCGAACAGTGCATTTCTATTGTCGTCTGCGGCGTTGGGATCCGAATTTCCAAGACCGCCGTAGCCTCCGGGTCTGGATCCTCCACCAGACCTGTCATCGCCTCCATATCTATCCCTCCCGTAGCCTCCCTGGACACCTGGCTTTGCTGGGCCGTAACCACCTCCGTTTGGGTCGCCATATGAATTCTTTGCTGCATTTCCCATTGAGTTCGGAGGGTGATTCATACCGCCGTAGCCTTGCTTCGGCCCGCTGGGTAGCCCACCGGACGGTCTACCATCGTTGGGCTGAGGTTGGGGAGGACCGTAGAGCTTGGATTTTGCTTCAGTATAGGGATCAGAGTACGCGGGAGCTTGGGCATATGGGTTTGACTGTGGTGCTGGACTTTTGGCCTTTGACCCTAGAGCCGAACAGTGCTCTTCTGCTGCCCTCATCGTCTCCGTCTTCGCTCTTTTTGCTGAAGCCTAACTTTCTCATCGTGCCTAGGCAGGGAAGTGCTGTCAGGGCGGGGAGTTCAGTCAAAGGATTCGGAGTAGGATAAGGGTAATCTGTGATTCAAGACACACACTTTTCCAGACGCCGTAGCTCAAGGTAGTTCCCCAGGATACTGCAAATGGACTGGAAGCGTCTGCCAAAGTGCCTGGTGACAACAAACCGTCTGGCGATGCGTCTCCCTTTGAGGCTCAGTCGAGACGCCCCCCTGTCACGTGCTGCGATGTGGCGGGGAGCGGGACTAGGCCGTGTTAGGCTAGCGGCGCCGGAGCTTCACTTCATCCAACATCCATCGCCAATTCGAAACGACCTTCTGTCGCACACTCGACGACCTGACACTCCTGGAGCCATGGCTTCTTGCAATCCATGGAGAGACTTGATCACCGGATCTACTCTTTGAGAGAAGACCTGTTGCTTTGCTGCTTCAATGCAGCTCATCGCTAGAAATGACTCCTCATCCGGGTCTTGAGGCCGATGAAATCAGAAAAAAATCCCAGAAGGACCTGCTCAACCTCCTTGAAGCTGTATGTTTTTTATCCTCTTGCCTATCCCATTGCATTTCTTCGCTTACATACTTTCTAGGTAAGGGGGAAGAAGAACCTTGTAATCAGCAAGGATCTTGCCGGTCCCATCGGTGTATTCGTCAAATTTTCAGTCCTTCAGGAGTATGGAGTGGACCGAGTATTCTTGCTCGAAAATGAGAATGTCGATTCTTCTCAGCGGAATATTATATTTCTAGTGCACGCTGAAAAACCCAGCCACGTACAATCTGTTGCTGGTATGTAGTCCTTCGTTCAAAATCACTGGGCATTCATTACCTTTTATCTATACCTGTTACCTACTTTGGGACGAACAGTAGACTGCGTGGTTTTATCTCTCCACTCTTCGTGGTCAGTCGAGTTCCCTATATCAATTCTAGTAATATTTTATTTCCCGTCCCTATGGCTTTCTTTCTATACACCACCACTGTTTGATGGCCATCAGTATGGGCTTACATTTTATCCTTAGCTCAAATTCGAAAACTTCAGCACAATGGTGCAGCCGAGCTTGAATTTTCTATATTCTGGGTGCCACGGAGGACCCTTGTCTCCAACCAAATTCTTGAGGAGGAAGGAATTATTGGAGACGTGAACATTGCCGAGCTTCCGTTTTATTTCTTTCCTCTAGAGAACGATCTTCTTTCACTAGAGCTTCAAGAGTCTTTTAAGGATCTCTATCTAGTACGTAATTCGCAGCTTCGAGTCATACCGCTCCTAACAAGCAGTAGCATCATAATCCTAATCCAATACACCTCTCAGCAAAAGCATTAATGGAGATTCAAAAAAGACATGGATTCTTTCCCCGCATCGTTGGAAAAGGGGACAACGCCAGAAAACTCGCTGATCAATTGCTACGCATGAGAAAGGAACTAGATACGGAAGAATCCTCGAATCTGGGAGACGGGTTAAGAAGAGGCCTCATGGTCAGCTCTACTATTGAAAACTTAATCATCCTCGATCGCGAAGTGGATTTTGCGACGGTGTTAATGACACAGTTGACATATGAAGGCCTTGTGGATGAGCTTTTCGGGATAAGCCATAATCAGACTGAAATTGACTCGACAATAATTGGTGCAGGCACTCCAGGTCAAGCATCTCAAGCTTCATCTGCTGGTTCGTCGTCAACTCCCAAACAGTCGTTGAAACGCAAGATCCAAGTAGATTCTTCCGATCCACTTTTCAACCAACTTCGTGACGCAAATTTTGCCATTGTTGGTGGTATCTTAAACAAAGTTGCACGGAGACTGGAAAATGATTACCAGAGTCGGCATGGTGCCAAAACAACTTCGGAGCTACGGGAATTTGTGAACAAACTCCCGGCTTACCAGGCCGAGCATACAAGCCTGAAGGTGCACACCAACCTCGCAGAAGAGATCATGCACCAGACTCAGTCCGATGTGTTTCGGCGAATCCTTGAGGTTCAGCAAAACGTAGCGGCGGGTGCCGATGCTGCAACTCAGCATGACTTGATTGAGGAGCTCATTGCGCGAGACATTCCCATAAAATCCATTTTGCGGCTTTTGTGCATCGAATCGTGCGTCGGTGGCGGTCTTCGCCCTAGAGATCTCGATAACTTCAAAAGACAAATCCTACAGGCCTACGGATATCAACATTTACTGACCCTCGACGCTCTGGAAAAGATGGAGCTGCTTCAGTCACGGTCTTCAGCCACAGCCATGATTTTGCCCACTGGTGGTAGCGGTGGAGCAGGTCTAAAAACAAACTACAATTACCTCCGCAAAGCCCTTAGACTCATTGTGGATGAAGTCGATGAACAGAACCCTGACGATATAGCATACGTTTACAGCGGATATGCGCCGTTAAGCATCCGTTTGATCCAGTGTATCTTACAAAAATCGCACATTTTGACCCTAACGAAAAATTTACCTGCGCCTGCAGCAGCTGCATCAAGTGGCACTCCATCTCCAGGGTGGCTGGGATTTGAAGATATTGTGAAAAGTGCCCGTGGATCAACGTTAAACATTGTTCAAAAGGCCGAGGAGACAGCTAGCCGGGCGAAGCAGACATTAGCGGGGGTTGGTGGAATCAAAACAGTGTTTATTTTCTTCCTAGGTGGTATTACGTTCACCGAAATTGCGGCGTTGCGCTTCATTGCCCGACAGGAAGCGGGAAGAAGACAAATCATCATCTGTACGACGGGGATTATTAACGGAAATAGGATGATGGAGGCTGCCATGGAAAGGTCGACTGTAGAGCCATCTTCATAGATACCGACTTACAACTATTTCCTCAAAAATGAATCCGGGCAGTATTGACCGTCATTTAATCCCGGCTCAATACTCGAATTTGCTATCCAACCCCAACAGCCGACCTTGATATCGCCTCGTAACCTCTTCAAGTTTCACCATAATTCCTGCTGCTAAAGCCCTCACCCGTTCATCTTCTCTCGGTGCCCGTTCAAACACACCATCCACCCACTCTCTCAACTCGAGAATTGATGTGGAGAACTGCGTAACTAGGCTCTCCTCAGCATTACTACCAGACGCAACATTTACATCCACGACCGTAAGGATTAGGGATAGGATAGCCGGCAGGACCAGAGGATCTAAGGCGACAGGTAAGTTGTGCAAGGTGGTGAGGAGTGAAATGGTTTCGCTCGTGGATAAAAGAAGGTTCGGAGTGTAAGGGCCGATGGTGGAAAGGAGAAGGGTGGTTGTTTGGACAAACAGAGCGATAAGATGCGGTTCTAGGAATGGATTACGGTCCCCAAAGGAGCTAGAGGGTCACAGTTAGATTCGGGCTCATGATGGTACAAATCAAGGAGTGTGCAATGTCGAACTCACCGCATCGTGTACATCATCACACCGAATTCTCCCAGTAACGGCATAAGAAACGAATCTGTCAGGGTTGTGTACATCTCTTTTGGTATGGTCGTCTGCTTTCGTTTTGATTTCAGCTCCCTTTGTCGTCTGTCTTCCGTGGCATTGGAGGATAGGGGTTGGAGTTTCATGATATTCGGGCCCGTCAACGTGTCCGCCGCATTCAGAGCCAAAGGCTCTAGGATATTTTGTGAGATTCGGTTTGATATGGTTTCGATTGATGATTGGGGCGAGCCATAGATGGATTCTAAATGCTGTGGTAATTTTTTAGATGGGAATGTCAGGTTGGACTGTGGACTCAGTCCTAGGGCCTTTGCATCCTCATCCCCAAACCCAGCAAGCTCTCTAGCAGCCAATCCCAGTGCGACTAGAATAGATGATCGATGACCTAAAGAAAGGTCGACGTTAAAGAGAGAGTGGGCCATCCACCGTCCCATTTGGGACGGGAGGACGACGATAAGGGCGATAAGGCTTTCCATCCGACGCTCATGAAAGTTCGATATGTCATATTTATCTTGGAGAGAAACTAGATTTAAAGCGAGCTCGTTGGCATTTTCAAGAATTTCTGTGCCAAACGCAGCTTTGCGACGGATGAGACCCGGTGCCGTGGAGATCGCCAGGCTATACCGTTCAGCGTTTTCACTGTCTCTAAGGCCAGAGACGAGGTCGCGTATATATCTAAAGCGTGATATTAGCCAATGATAGATGGTCAGGTAGTGGGTAAAAAACATACACCGGTGCTAAAGGCTTTGAACGCTGGATTAGAGTCGGATCCTCTTCCGAATCCGACGCATCTGAATCTGGTTTCTCGTAGGTTTGAAAATCATCCTCCCCTTCGGAGTGGTCGGATATCTCTTCGATGCTGATAACTCTTGTTTGATTGACGGCGGAATTCGACTGAAGTCGAGTTTGTGACTGGGACGCTTGCAAATTTGCTGAGTTCGCTGCCTTCGGTTTCCGCGTGCTGACACGTTTCAAGGCCTGTAAATCGCTAAGGGCACCGACTTGATCTCTAATTTCGGTAAGACCCATATACCACAAGGCACTTTCTCCCTGCATCTCTTCCAGTTGAAACCTCATGGCTCTATCAGGAGGATCGGTAAGTTTTGAAAGAGCCATGCCCACAACCATGCCCAAAAATCGGGATCTAGGTAAGGATGCTCCAATTCGATGTGAGATTGCAGAAAGGTACGGGCCCGATTTCGTGATGCTAACAAGCTCAGCTGCGTTAAGTCGGTGTAAATATCCGGCGGTAAGCAAAATGATTTGGCAGGTGGCTAGATAAATCGGATCAGAATGCGAGATTGAATGAAAAGCCTGTTCAAGGAGACGCCTTACCCTCTTGAAGCAAGTATGGCGTATGTTTGATGGACAGTTCATCGCCAAATAGTCCAATGGATTTCCCAAGTACCTCGCATAAGGCTTCTAAATGAATGTATTAGAGTATTTTGGGGGCATGGAGGATGGGGAATTGTACCGGTTCGATTTGAAAATATCACCATGAGAGCACGGCGCATATAGATTCCTTTAATATTCCCCCCTCTAACTAAGAGTTCCACGAGATGAAGAGACAGTGAAGGTAGGTGGTCTAAAATCAGTGCTACCACTGCTGAAACACCCCGGATGGTAACACTGGGCTCGGAATTTTCCGGTGAAGTAGAACGGTCGCCCGCGGTAGCTGGAAGGTATTCATTTTCCAATTGATGCAAGATGGACTCGAAAACCCTCTTTTGAAAGGGTGGCTCCAATAAGCCAACTAAAATTCCAAACGGTTTTCCTTGAGTGTCGGGTTGAAGCAATAGGCCCGAGAGTAACTTGTCCAGGAGAGCACCTGCGTATGAGATGAGTTGAGAGGTTTCAAACCTGTCTTTGACCAAGATCACTCACTCTGATACCCAAGGCTTAAAGCGCGTTGACTGAATTTCGCAAGACTGCCCCATCCTTCGCTATCATTGTCATCCAGGTTTAGGGCCATGGATACGATGCATTTTCCAAGCCAAGAAGCGTAGCTTTTACCTTCTCCAATCCACCGTATTGAATCTGGTACTTCCACTTCTTTGACCAACCCAAGAGATTCTGCTGCAATGGACAATACACGCCCCGAGGCAAGAAATGAAATTAATTGTGACCAAGCAAGCCTCTTTTTCGGGCTGGATGAGAATTTGGCGATGCGTTGATAGATCCTTAGTAGAAAATCCGGAGTCTTCAAAACGTATGAGAGAGCAGCCAGCGTATCACGGAGGACTACCTGTCTGCCTAGGCTCTCGCCACTTTGTTGGGTTTCAAATCGGTCAATGTTTGTCCGAAGGTTTACAATCAAAGCCCCAATTCCGCCAACACTTGTCAAGCATCTCAACACGATTGCCAACGGGGTCTTGTCCCTCCTGGATTTGGGAGACGACCTATGTTCATTTTCAAGATTGGCCCAGCGATCATTAATCGCAACAGAAACCAGGCTATTCAAAATGGGAAGAGTAGATGTCTCCAAGTCCGTTACGTCGTACCCGGACTGAGTGGAATGAGCAGGGTCAAGGAAGTTCAAGGCCTGGAGAAACTGAGAATCCGAGGGATGGGAGCTGAGAGTCCGGAGGGCCCCCTGCAGCGTATCAACGATACTATTTCCTTCTATAACAGGTTGTTCCCGAAGTGTGGAATGCGTGGTGTCCGGTGGCACAGCCTTTGATAGGCTCTCCTTTTCATCGTGGGTTCTGATATTTACCGTCTTGACGGCTGTTAAAAGGCTCTCCATGATGAAGGCACCACCATGTCTATCGAGCGAGCATCGATAGGTCGCAGACCAAAAGAAAAGTAATCAATGCAGTCAACGGTGCCAATCGAAATCCCAGACGGATCGCTGGGAGTCGCGTTTGCCCAAAACGGAGAGATATTGCTTAGTCATCACTTAGTTATGTTAAGTAACTTAACTATCGCGGAGTTGAGTAAATCCGCTCCGGGCTACCTATCCCCTTTGAGTTTAGCTTGAGATTGTCTCTCCGCCAATCCGTGGCAATAATCATGATATAGCTCTAGACTTGCTGCGGTCAAGTCGGTTGCATTGCTCACCAATGATGTGTCAAGGGTCACGGCCAACAGCCTCTCAGATAAGGATCTTGAAGTTGGAAAAAGTCCACATCAGACACACATTCCTCTGCGCTGGAGCTTATATGTACAATGCTCTAGCCCTCTAGTGGAGTCAAATGGGTCCCGGCTAGATCGCTACTAGAATTCGGATAGGTTTTGCTTAAGTTGCTGATCGTCAAGCAACATGACAGGCGTGCTAATGAGCCAGGTTAAAATAAATCAAAGGTCGAAGAACATGGGAGGCTCGTGCCGGAAGAAGACTAGATGCACATTATTGTCATAATAGCAGCACATCTTGAGGCAATTGCTTTCTAAATCAATGGAAAGCGGTTTGAGTGCTGCAAAGAGCTGGGATTCCAGCAAGATCGAGGTGGCCAAGTGTATATATTTATAAACTGTCCTACCGATAATTTCTGCTTCAAAAGCCGCCTTGGCAGGCCCGTCACTTTTTCATCTGAAGTCGCAAAGGTCAAAGTCGCTGACCAGGGGTTGCAATGCGTCTGATAAAACTTGGTTCATTCTCCGTTCTCACCGACGAGGCTCTTCATCAATAAATCATGCGGAAGGGCAGGTTGCTTTCCCACATACTGTCGCTCCGGCATAGCCACAACCTGCGCGCGGTTAAAGTTCTGTTGGTTTCCGTGTTTCTCTGGCTCATTGCCTTTGGATATTGTCAACAGCGGTTCTGGAGGGAGCCGCACTCTGCGTTCTTTCGAGACAGCCACGTCTATGACCTCAAATACAGTCTTTATCGGGAGCGCGAAGCTCGACACTTTATCTCCCGCTACAACGCGCCGACGGATCCGCCGGAAGCAGTGAAGAGTGCCTCAGACCCTACGTTCTGCGTTGCTATTGTAACGGTCAGGCGGCCCTCGGACGACTACTTCGATCCCTCCATCGGGTCTCTCCTCGCGGGGCTGGACCCCCGAGAACGACGCTCCCTTCGATTGAACATCCTCTTCACGGACACCGAACCTACGAGACATCCTGGCTGGGGCCAAAAATGGGTGGAACGGCTTGCGGATGAAGTGAGCACCTATAATGTCTCCAGTGATCAGCTGCAGAGTTTACGACAATGGGAGAAAGAGCGAGATTTCCATATTAAAGGGGTATTGTAAGTACAATTGACTTGGATCATATCCCATCTACTTTCGCGGAGGGCCCACTGGCTAACCCAGCGGATTAAGCGATTATATATATGCTTTGAAGAGCTGCGAAGCTTCGAACGCCCCCTACATCGCGATATTTGAAGATGATATTATCGTCGCCGACGGATGGCTAGCCAAAACACTGAAAGGGCTGAACGATATTGACCGCGTCTTCCCTGCTAAACAGCCCTGGCTCTACCTCCGCCTCTTCTATACCGAAACCGCACTGAGCTGGTCATCGTCCGATTTTGCATACAGAAACATGCCACTCATTTTTGGCATGGTCATACTCTTTGTTTTTACCGGTCTGACCCTCGCGCGCCGTGTCGGCCCTTGTCATTCCCACCTAGATAATGCTACGATAGGTGTTTTAAGTGCGGTTTGTGCCCCTGCGTTTCTCGCTCTTATATACATGACCGGAAAATACTCTCTGGCGCCTCTTCGCGGAGTCGTGGACATTGGTCGGTCTGGCTGCTGTACCCAGGGCTTGGTATTCCCGAGACAGCAGGTACCGGGAGTTGTGGAGTATCTACGGCAGGAAAAGAGGGGCCAAACCGATACCATGATCGAGAACTACGCAGAAAAAACTGGGCTCAAGAGATACGCTCTTGCTCCTCAACAGCTTCAACATGTTGGGCTGCAGTCCAGCCGGGATAATACCGAAGTCAACACGCAGAGCAACTGGGCATTCTACTTCGAGGAGAATGATCCCAATGTCTTGAAGAAAGAGCATTCAGATCTTCTAAATGATCAAGAGATAAAGTCACTTCTCGATAAATATAGCTAATTACAGAATAGGGCCCTTCCTTGCCCTTGATCCGTTTCGCAATGGAGAGTTTTGCCTCTTTAGCATTGGTGTTTAGAAAATATTCCTGGTTTGAGCGAGCATATATACATAATTAATATATTTTAAGTCGACATTTTCTCCTGTATTCTCATTTTGGGCTGTTGGCTCAGATGATCGTGCAGATGGTTGCACCTGATAGGTATCAACTCTGTATTGGAGCCGCCGAAATCGAAGGACGTATGCAATTTCCGGGCGACTGGTCTAGCCTACTTGCAAGACATTAATTCTCTTCCATAAAAGCTGTACTCAAAAGTATTCACATTCCATATTCAAAGCTTGCTGGGTCGGCAACAAGTTGGCTGACTAACCCACGGAGGAGTGAATCTTGGACTGAACCAACTCATGATTCCTAATTATTGCATGCTTGCTCAGTGAAGAGGTCGTCAATCTAAATCCTACTCTTTACAAAATGATGTCCTCTTGAACGACTCACCTTTGGATGCCTCATAGGTTCTTATATTCCACAAGGTTATTTGCCGTTCCAACAGGGACTCTGTACATTTGCTTTTGTGCTCTACCCACCCTATAGAGTCCAGGAAGATAGAATCTCAATTATACTAAAAGCCATGACCTCCCAGGAAGACCCCCAAGCCAACTCAGATCAAGGCAGATGGTATGTGGACGATTTGAGCCTGCAAACTTTGTAATCCATGAGCTGAAGTCATCGCTTCTTGCCTCAGGAAGCACCTTTACGGGATCCTGACGCGCCCAGGCCCCTTCAGTGACGAAGACTGGATTCCAGGGCCCGAGACTATTTCGGCTCTCGCATCTTCCAAGATTTTGTATGCTCTCTACTAGTCACCGTTTGGGTGCGTTCATAACTAATGTTTGAAATAGGGTAATGTGAGTGGTTTTGATGCATGTCAACTCGCTCCGATGGCTGATTTGACCCCAGCGGTGCTGGAGGCTTAGGATGTGAGATCCTCAAGAATCTGGCCCTGTCGGGATTTAAAGATATTCATGTGATTGATATGGGTAAGCCGTTGGCACTTATCAAGTTGGAAAAAGTTACCAACGTCCAAGTAGATACGATTGATATTTCCAACTTGAATCGGCAGTTCCTCTTTCGCCAGGCTGATGTTGGGAAACCAAAGGCTGAAGTAGCAGCTAACTTTGTCGAAAAGCGAGTAAAAGGGGTAAAGATCACCCCGTATGTGGGGAAGATTCAGGACAAAGATGAAGATTATTATATGCAATTCAAGATAGTTGTGTGCGGCCTTGACAGTATCGAAGCCCGACGCTGGATCAACTCTACCCTCGTGGGCATGGTAGATCCTGAAAATCCGGAAAGTTTGAAGCCTCTTATTGACGGCGGCACAGAGGGTACGTTTGACCTCCTTATTATCCATAAATTGTTGCTCTGACACATCATATAGGCTTCAAAGGCCAGGCCAGAGTTATACTACCAACTCTCACATCATGCATCGAGTGCCAACTTGACATGCATGCACCGCGGCCTGCTGTCCCTCTATGCACTATTGCAACGATCCCCCGCCAGCCCCAACACTGTATAGAATGGGCTCATCAAATTGCTTGGGGCGAGAAGCGCAAGGGTGAAGAATTCGACGGCGACGACCTGGAACATGTAACGTGGATATATCAAACTGCTCTGGAACGTGCCGAACAGTTTTCTATTCTCGGAGTGACATTCTCGATGACCCAAGGCGTTGTCAAGAATATCATTCCTGCCATCGCTTCCACCAACGCAGTTATCGCCGCGGCATGTACATCCGAGGCGCTGAAAATCGCGACGTCCTGCAATCCCTTCTTGGACAACTACATGATGTACGCCGGTGAAGAAGGCGTTTATACCTACACCTTTGCTTCAGAGCAGAAGCCGGACTGCCCTGTTTGCGGCAACTTGGCTAAAAAAGTCGACGTCAGCCCCGAGGCAACACTGCAAGAATTTGTTGACTCCTTGGGTGAACGCGCAGAGGCGCAGCTCAAGACTCCCAGCCTCCGGACGGAAGAGAAAACTCTATACCAACGTTTCCCACCTCAACTGGAGGAACAGACCCGGCCTAATTTGAAGCGGAAGCTGAAGGAGCTTGTTGTCGACGGAGAGGAGGTGGCTGTCAGCGACCCTGCGTTTTCTATTGATTTCCGGTTCAGACTTGCGTTCAGATAATTACCAAAGACGCCTAGAGTATGAAATTGATGGTTCAAATGGCATGATGCATGATCTAAGTGTTGATTTCGACTTATTTTCATTATTGAAGTACGGTAAATTTACAATGTTAACCTAAGCAACGGATTCCCCGCCTCAAAACTCCATGGGTTTATCATAACAGAAAGCAGCTTTCCCTTTGTTTTATAAATCGAAACGCCCAAATGCAGGAGAGCAATCAAAGATATCCAACCCCTTTTTATACCGGATTTATATCTGTCATGTCGGCCAGTGCAGCCACATTCCGCTTTAACCGTGCACATTTAAGTCGTAGAACTTTAACGCTCTCGATGAAGAGGAGGTCGCTATTAAACTGTCCCACGCTCTCAATATTGAAGATAAAGTGGTCTCGGATCCGGCCGAGCTTAACTTTATCCTTGAACTCCTCGTGTCGTAAGCACTCTCTGCTCACTGTGTCTTTGAAAGGATCCACGACAACGGCTTTCTTTTCCCCCTTGTGTCCTTCATATCCAGTTCCTTTCTGTTCTGCTTCGTCTGCCGTCACGTGTTCGATCCCGATGACCCCGGGAGGGAAGCAATTGGCGAATTTAACGGCGTCATCGCCGAGTATTGGACGTGTTATTTGAATATCCGGAAGGAGGCGATACGATGCTGTTGCTACCGGCGAAAATTTGGCATGATCCTGTCCGATGCCCTTGATGCAATGCATCTCAATATCAATCTTTTGTCCTGGCCGCAACTTTGCCAGTAAAATGTCTGGGTTCGACGGTTGAATCTCTCCATCTGGCCCTGAGAAAAACGTGGTTTGACGCCCGACGGGTTCGAAAACAATATCCCTGGCGTATACGTGCGCGTTGTTGTAGAGCACCGTGGGGTCTTCTTCGTCGGGACTTGCGTTTGGATTCTTGGTGCATTCTGCGTTGAGTTTGAGAACGATGGTATTGTGATCACTCGCTACGCTGGCGCTATCTTCTTCGCCTTCTTGGGGCATTCTAAACCAGGTCATCCAGTTTATACCGTCGAGCGAACCCTTGAGCGGAACGAGGCCTAATCGGTGGGAGAGAACTTCATCGTGTATCACGGACGTATTGTTGTGAATGAACACGAACTCGATAGCGAGGGACGGGATTTCGGCAATAAGAATACGGCGGAAGGCATTTGCGATGGCGGCATCGACGCCGATTAGGGAGAAGGACGCCTCAAGAGGGTCGTTTTTGTGAAAGATAACTTGAAGGTTCTGATGGGGCGGAATGTTTAGCAAATGCGATACTGGAACGAACGGGAGGGGGAAATCTACTTCTCTAAATTTGCTAATAGACCAGGAATGGTCTTCCCCGGGCCAATGCCCTGGAAAATCTGTGGCGGAGATATGAGTAACTGTTTCAGGGTTGATTCCTATGATCTATGGATTCAGATGTTAGCTAGTCCAAACCGATCGAGGAAGGGGAGGACAAGGCATGCCTTTCGTTTGCGGATTTCTTCGGGTGAAGCAATACGAGGCGCCATAGTTTCCTAGCTCTCTTGATGCCGCTCTGTGCAAACGCTGTGTTGAGGAGCAGAGATATCCATTGCACGCCCGCCGCTGAGAAGAAAGATTTCGAGATCTTCCGCCAATCAAATCGACCGATAGCCAAAGCCGCACTAGCCCCAAAGCGGAGTAGCTGCCTCTCAGCTCCAGCCAATCAGAGCGCTTCGAATCGCTGGCTGACGCTCCCGGTCACGTGCCATTTCCAGTCAACATCTCAAGTTCGCTTTTGGACGACGAAGTGAAGGACAGCCGCAGTCAAACTCCCTCTGCTCGTTGCGGATTCTCTTTCAAACTGCGCGGAGGTTTGAGGCACACTCAGTGGAATTGTGCTAGTGCTACCTGCCAATCATGTCCTCCACACTCACAATTCTAGCACGGCATGCGCCCAAAAGACTCTGTCTCGCCAGTTCCATACCAAGCACGGCGGCCCGGGTCGGCGTACCTCGATTCATCTCCAATTCCTCTGCCCTCCGACAGTATGACGAATCCGCCTACCAAGCAACCAGATTAATTCCCACTGGCCCCAGCTTCCGACCGCAGCAAACAGCCGTTGGTGAGGCTTCCGGCCTTGAATCTGACGCCGGCCACAACCGAAAGATCCGCCACTATACAGTCAACTTCGGCCCCCAACATCCCGCTGCTCACGGTGTGTTACGATTGATTCTGGAACTCAATGGCGAGGAGATTGTTAGGGCGGATCCGCATGTTGGGCTCTTGCACCGTGGAACCGAGAAATTGATCGAATACAAGACATACATGCAAGCACTCCCATACTTTGATCGTCTGGATTACGTCTCGATGATGACGAACGAACAATGCTTTTCGTTGGCAGTGGAGAAGTTGTTAAATATTGAGATCCCGGAGAGAGCAAAATGGATTAGAACCCTCTTTGGCGAGATTACGCGAGTTCTGAACCATCTCATGTCCGTCCTCTCCCACGCTATGGACGTTGGTGCGCTGACGCCGTTCTTGTGGGGTTTCGAGGAGCGAGAAAAACTAATGGTATGGGAATCCAATATGGATTATTTGAATTCGGCTGACCTTGGCGTTTTCCTCTCAAGGAATTTTATGAACGAGTCTCGGGCGCTCGTCTGCATGCGGCATATGTTAGACCGGGAGGTGTCCACCAAGATCTTCCGCTAGGCCTTCTCGATGATATCTATCAATGGGCGACCCAATTCGGTGACCGTATCGATGAGACGGAAGAACTTCTGACAGATAACAGAATTTGGAAAGCCAGAACGCAGGGAGTCGGTGTTGTATCCGCAGCCGATGCACTTAATTTCGGCTTCACAGGTGTTATGCTTCGAGGCTCTGGTATCCCGTGGGATATCCGTAAATCGCAGCCATATGATGCTTACGACCAGGTCGAATTTGATGTGCCTGTCGGAGTAAACGGAGACTGTTATGACCGCTATCTCTGCCGTATGGAAGAATTCCGCCAGTCCCTTCGCATCATCCACCAATGCCTAAACAAAATGCCTGCGGGCCCAGTCCGAGTAGAAGACTACAAGATCAACCCACCTCCTCGTGCAGCCATGAAGGAAAACATGGAAGCTTTGATTCACCACTTTTTGCTTTTCACCAAGGGTTACGCCGTGCCCCCTGGTGAAACGTATTCCGCCATTGAAGCTCCCAAGGGCGAAATGGGTGTGTTCGTCGTTAGCGATGGTAGCGAAAGACCTTACAGATGTAAGATTCGCGCACCAGGATTCGCTCATCTTGCGTGCTTTGATCAGATTTCGAGAGGTCATCTTCTTGCCGATGCCGTCGCTATTATTGGTAAGGCTTACCCCTAAATGCCGGACCGGTGGATATGAATTTACTGACTTTCTTAGGTACCATGGATCTCGTGTTTGGAGAAGTTGACAGATAACGTGCTCTACCTTGAGCAATATTTTCCTATCAATTTTAAAAATTCCAGTACATAACCAGACGTTTTCCAGTCACTCGAGGGCGCGGTGGCTTAATGGTGATGAGCTGTTTGATGCTACCTTATTACCACTGTTTTGCATGTAACTTCTTTAGCTACCTGTTACAGTATGCATGTTTTTGCTGTTTAGACTTATTTGCACGAAGCAGACTGGATGCTGTTATTCCCTCGCTGATGGTAAGGGTAGTGGCAGAACCTTAATTTCTAGAGCAGAAGCATACAGCAGATATGTATCAACAACTCATGGGCAGCAAAAACGTTTGGTATTACTGACATCTAACCAGTGCGGACCAATTGCAAAGAAATCGATAATTGATAATAGCAATGACAACACAACAGCGTAAACTCTACTCCAGGAAACAGTGGTGGATATGGCTATTTGGATTACATCACCAAAAGAACCGTCGAAAATGATACTAAGAACGGTGGCAGGACGCTCATCATTCATACGGAAACGGATAATTCCTCTAAATTTCGAGATTCAGAGCGCACAGAGAGTATTCAAACGTCATTATCATGATAGTGAAAATTCAGTTCTCTGGGCCGTGGGGGTCTTCCAGGGGGAAAGGATGCATCGTCCGGCGGTCGTTCATTCTTTGTATTGCCTGTGAGCATGCTCTGGATGCTCATGCAGACGCTCTCCACAGTCTGAACAGGTGTCCAGCCTGCTGAGCCAAGGAGATCAAGGCATATCAGTCCGTTGCTGTAAATGTGAGGGTGTATGGGGATAGTGCGGGGCGTGGGAGAGGACGGCGGGAGGGAAATAAATACGACCTCTGGGGCCTCTGGAATGTCACACATGGTCAACAAGCGTTCGTTGTCTTGCGACTCTGAGTCGGGAGACAAACCTATGGGGTAGCTCTTGCTGAAGAGGAACCGGAGGCGGTATGTTTGGTTTTGGTACAGAGGGTTGGAGTCCAACACACAAATGTCCATTTGCCATTCATTAAAATTGTCTGCGTGTACTATCGATATTCCGGGTGGGAGGGATGTTTGCATCTGTAGAAATGCATCGTGTCAGACAACAAGGCAAAATACAAAAGGGAGCCGCAGCCTTTTGACTTTTCGGAGCAATGGTACCTTCAGAAGCTCCTGTAGTTTGGGTTAGCCGTGATATAAAAAAGATATGCCGGGTGTCTTACCTTTCTTAGGCGCTTGTTTGCAAACATGGTGAGTAGCAAGAAATGGTCAATATAGTACAGAGTCAAAAAAGGGAAATGGAGCTGTTTTCGGGAAGCTCGATAGCCTGGAGCACAACTAGGCGGACAGCAGAAACAGGGGAAGCCCAAAATCAACGGTTGGTGCTGTGTGAAGGAGCAAGCGGGGCTGCGCAAGCTGGACTGATTTAGTAGTAAGAGGTTCAATTCTGATGGGCGCCAGGAAAGGAGAGACAGTTGCAGAGGCGGTCACAGACAGAGCCACGTCGAAAGGAGGATGCCTGGGAATGCGCAGCAGGCAGCTTTGAATGATATGCTCTCATCCGTCGACTTCATCCCTGATGATCTGGACGCAAGAATGACGATGTCATGGCTGACTCATCACATGCCCTGTTCTAGTCCGTCTTGGGTTAGACTGGCCAAGGGGAGGCATCCCAAGCCACAAATAGTAGCTCCTGGATATCGTAATTACAGCCGATGGAGTACGGGGAGGCATTGACTTCTCTCTCCGTCTATGAATTGTTGGGCTCTCTCCTACTTGTACATATTGACGCACATCTATAACTATAGGCACCGGCGACTTTTTGCCGCCTGGTGTTTGTGGCTGGATTCTCTGAGCGGCAATGCCAAGCCATGGCTGGTGCTTCAGGCCCCACTTCCGCGTTCAGGAGATTGAGGCTGAGCCAGGGATGTGGCAGGTACTTGCTCCTGCAGCCAAATTCGCAGGAGCCACAAGTCACTCGGAACTTAATCACTGTTTGGCCCCGCAGTCAAGAGAACATCGCGCTCAGCCTTACCTCTGCTCTCTCTTCTTCACTCCAAATGCACCGTTGTGTCTTCTTCTCAGCTTGATAGTCAGGCATCCATGCGCTGATCCAACATTGGTATGTGCTTTCCCCTCCGTGCTCCGGCTAGAAGTGGGCTGGGAAGCTCCTCGGCGCGTAGTTGGCCAGTTGGGTCGAAAGCTTGGGCTTTCAGGAACTAACCGCCAACAGAATCTCGAGGCAGAGCCAAACAGCACACGAACTATTCCCACAAGGCTCCCTTGTTCTGGAAGATCAGCTAGTTATCTACCCCTCTCGTTGACTCCGGCGGCATCGTCCTCTGCTTCCCTACCCCGCCTCAGCTAGCCCAAGGGACCCTAGAAAGCTCTCGCCCAACCACTTTGAAATTCCGACGTTCAAGAGAGTCAATCTTGAGACATTGAACCATGAGTTGTAAGTCCGACTTTTCGGGAAGTCCCAATAACGAACCCATAATCTGCCTTGGCCTTTCGTCACTTTCAGTTCCCCTGGGCGGTTATGGATGCCTAGAAATGAACCCCAATTGAATCATCTGAACACGGAAGCGCCGTATGGCTTGTGGAATATGGTCATACGCAGAACGTTTGAGATTACAAAGGGCTAATATATAATCTCGTCCTCCAGTCGCAACCATGCTCAATAAGCTGCAGGGCCAACCTGACAGTTACGATAAGAAGTACGAAATTCCTAATATCCACTCACCATGGAGACTTCATCGCTCACCAACAAAAGGGCACTATACAAATTTGGAAGGACACTAGGCGCAGGGACATACGGGATTGTTCGCGAAGCAGATGGGCCAAACGGGAAAGTAGCTGTCAAGATCATTCTCAAGAAGAATGTCAAAGGCAACGAACAAATGGTCTACGATGAGCTTGACATGCTGCAGCGTCTACACCATCCTCACATCGTCCGCTTTCATGACTGGTTTGAATCTAGAGTGCGTGAAAATCCCCGAACCATTATATCCGCCACGCCCTGAAACTAACGGGCATAGGACAAATACTACATAGTCACCCAATTGGCCACTGGCGGAGAACTGTTCGATAGAATTTGCGATTACGGAAAATTCACGGAAAAGGATGCATCTCAGACACTCTTGCAAGTGCTGGACGCTGTCAATTATTTACATGAGCGGAATGTTGTTCATCGAGGTAACCACTTTTGCCGCTAACTATATCCATTTATTCATCTTTTCTCATTGACGCTCCTAGATTTGAAACCCGAGAACCTCCTTTACCTTACCCGTGCTCAAGATTCAGAACTCGTGTTGGCCGACTTTGGCATTGCAAAAATGCTGGACAACCCCACGGATGTCCTCACAACCATGGCAGGATCTTTTGGCTACGCTGCTCCGGAGGTCATGTTGAAACAAGGCCATGGAAAAGCTGTTGACATGTGGTCTCTGGGGGTCATTACATATACGCTACTGTGCGGCTATTCTCCTTTCCGCTCGGAGAACCTCCAGGACCTGATTGATGAGTGCCGAAGCGGAAGTATTGTATTTCACGAACGATACTGGAGGGATGTTTCCAAGGATGCCAAAGATTTCATCCTAACACTTCTACAGCCCGATCCAACCAAACGAGCTACAAGTAAGGAAGCACTCCAGCATCGCTGGTTGAAGGGAGAGACCGCTACGGACCACAACTTGTTGCCAGAACTCAAGGCGTATATGGCCAAGGCTCGCCTAAAGCGTGGCATCGAAATCGTCAAATTAGCGAACCGCATTGAGGCGCTTAAAATGCAAGGAGATGACGATGAAGATATTCCTAGCGCCGTTCCAGAGGATACAGCTGTCGCACCAAAAAGCGGACCAGCAGACCTGGCTTCTCCAAAAGTGCCTGAAACGGCGCCCCCGCCCACAACCAAAAAACGAAGTCTTAGTAAAGCGGCCAAAAGTGCTATCTTCCGCGAAGTTGTCCTCGCCAAAGTTCGCCAAATGAGACAAGATGAGCAGAAGGAGAAGGTGGAGAAAGAGGTATTGGAGAGAGTTGAAAAGGAGAAGCAAAAATAGCGGCCACGCCTGCGTCCCGAAGTGAGCTATGACATGATACCCTTACTGACTCGGAAATCATGTGTGGATTTTCACGGAAGTTAGAGTTGAAAATTCTTCGTCGTTTTGAGATCTGCAGTCTGCTGTTAGTTTGAATGTGTCTTTTCCCCGGTTGCATATGTCCCTCAATACTCTTCCTTATGCCTAATGCGCGTCTGTTTTGTTTTCCTATTTGTGGGTGGTATCGACCTCGTTAGACAGGATGAGAATAAATATGACAGCACGGTTACATCACAAAAATAATAGTATCATTTTCAACAAACCGCACAACGAATCCAACACACATTTTGAAGGCAGGATTTCAAGTCACAATTCTGTGCATTGATTCATGCTACGTATAGAACTCATTACCTATACCTGCATGCTTCTACCGATGAAATGCCTCAGAGGACCCCTAACACCCATACAATTCTCCCAATGCCTCCTCACAAATACTCTCGTAGTACTCCGAGCCCTTCCAACGCCTTCTGGGATCTTTGATTCCCACCGTATTCCACCCTTCAGATCGTAAACGAGCGATTCTTTCCTGCTTTGTTTCACTTCCATGGGAAACGGCGCGATTTAACGGGATCTTGTTCTTGTCGTTATCATTATCTTGATCAGGAAACATGGGCACGAAACTCCAAAATGACGCGAGTCGATGGCTTTTCGTGGCTTTGTGGATGCGTTGGATTTCAGTAATCTGCGAAATAAGAGCGTTCAGGTTGGAAATGTTGGTATCGAGCTGGATAGGGAGGGAGTTTAGGATGTTAAGCAGCCGTGGAGAGGCCTGCAGCGCGGGCTTTCGGGCTGGTCGCATTTGATAACCTTTGGCTTTCGTCGGGGTGAGACTGGTTGAATCAATCGGGACGGGAATCCTGCTTATGAATTTGGTAATCGGAGAGATTGTAGCGGGGGGATCTGTTCTGGGCCTGCGAGAAGGAGTTTTTGGCTCACAGGTCTCACGCGGTATGAATGGGGGAGGGGAGAAGAGAGGTGGAGGAATTAGAGATCTGTCCGCGGTTGAGATGTGGCTAGGAACTGGCCTTTTTTTTCGTGTCTTTTGAATACGCAGGGGAGGCGGCATAAGCTCAGATCCAGACTCGGCATTAACCTCAACTGCCTCTATATCGTCACAGTCTGGTGCTTTCAAATCAACATCAGACTCGTCTTTCCCGGTCGCATTCCCAGAGCCGTTATTATTTTCTCCAGCAGTCTGACGTTTATGCCGCGCATAAGTTCTCCATGGCTCTGTCAAATTGAAAACAGAATAAACGCGTCCTGTAGTGGCGCGGGGTCCGTATTCGAAAATCGACTCCTGGCCAGGCTCCTTATATCCTTCTTCTTCGAGTTTTTCTTCTGCTTCTTCCTTCTCTTCCTTGCAGAAATCGTGCTCAACGTCTAGATGTCCATTCTCATTTAATTCTTCAAAGTCTTTGAGCGCATCGGCAAGAGAAAACTTGCACGCGACATATCCGTCTCTTGCCAGATTCAAAAGTGGCAGTTTGTTGCTTGAGTAGTTGTGCGCTGTTCGACCCAAGGTTTCATATGAAGCCGCACTATAATACTGAAGATATGCTTTGTGGATTGCGTGAAGCTGTCTCGAGTTTGTAAGCTAGGACTGGCATCCCGAGATCGAAATCCAGAGAAAAGGGAGGGTATATTCCGCGTACATTATCATCTAAATCTCTCATAAGATCATGAGAAAGAGCAGCACATTGTTTATAGCGGCGCTTCAAAAGGAGTATCTTGATTTCCTGTAGACCAAGTTTCCATTGCTCTGACGGCTTCGTGAGGCGATAGGCCATACCCGTTGGTCTATATGGGGACAATGACATTGCGTGAAGTAAACCAATATCTTTGGTATATGAGATATTAAAGAAAAAAAGAACCTATAGTCAACGAAAAGGCCTTCTGTTCTTAAAAAACTTGATAGGCTTCAATATAAAAAAAGAACAGGTGAGTATGCTTAAGCATTCCAACTCAAATGGAACTAGTCATGTTGTGAATCAGGAGCCTGCCGAGAAACCAAAACACTGCCTATATAAACAATTGCAGAAGGGTAACAGAAAGGAGATTAAGTAAATCTCTTGACAGGAACCTAGGGAGGTCAGAACGGCCAGGGATGTAGGCCTCCAACAAGGCCCCCAACCCCACAGGAAGACATCAATCACAGTTATTTCAGGCTCGAAAGAGCCTCACTCATCCACATCAGGCACGTTGGATTGCATGGTACTGAGGAGAGGCCTGTTGGGCCAAAGAAAGTTGTCACTTCAAGCAGGAATGATTTGCTGTAAGTCCTCTTCATATCGAGAAAGGGTGCTCCCCCGTTGTCATTATGCTCTAGGCTGTTATACCATAGCAGTGCAGCTTCGAATTTTATTTATCTGCCATCGATTGAGTATCAAGTCTAGATATTTGTGCACAGCGTTACGGTCGTCGGTTGAAGTTGGAAGCTCTGCTGACTAAGGCCCGGCAGCTCCTCCTTATGTCCCCTTACGATAACATCCCTACGATTCGTTGGAGAAATTGAATATATCCAGTTAAAGGAGCTGAGTTCTTTGAGCCAGATGGTTATTATTATTCATTTGTTGCGAATAGCCAAATGCAAAGCCTAACCTAACACCTTAAGTAGTAGCCATGGTATCCCCCCTCCCGACCCCCGAACGCAGCTTTAAACACGGAATATCGCCCGTCCGGCCCTCAAACACCTGGTGGCTCATCCCTCATTGGCGGCCCTTAAGCTGTCAGCGGCAGCAAGGGCCTCTCTCGTGGATGCCAGACCTTGGATGAAGTCCCCGAGCAGGCGGTCTAATTCCGCAGAAACCATGTCCTCGCTAGCTCCTTCAGCAAGGCATTCAGAGCTAGGAGGCATGGGCTCTGGGAAATAGAGAGACGTTGGCTTATCTGCTTCGGGAACTGGATCACCAGGTCTGGCATCCGTAGAGTAGAGGGATGGCACCACCGATTGGCGCCTTTGGTCCGTGGAGCTGCCGTTTCTCAAGGTAGCATCGTGGCTCCAATTGCTGCCGGGGTAATCATTAAATGAGCTCACAAGAGTCGAGGTCTCATAATCCTCAAAGAAACTGGAAGCCGGCATGGTAGGAAACTGGTCAGTGGAACCTTGGCGCTCTTCGCGAGGCGTGCTAGGGCTGGAAGGGCTGGATGTGCCGTCAAATCTGAAAGGGTTCCTATCTGTGTCGGACTGCGCAGATACAGCGGTTCCAGGGCGTGATTCAAAAGATTCAGTTCGGGCTGAGCCTCTCCTTCCTAAGGGTGGTGGTTGAAGGACAGGGAAGGATCGATTTGCGCCCCTAATGGTACCCTCCGACTCTGAGCTCCAAGGGTAAACGGGTTCAGAACCATTTTGCTCTTCAGTCTCACTTTCACCAGGGCCATCTTCGATCAGTGGGTCATCTCCGGGTGCACCTTCGTCTGGAGTCATGACAGGAAAGGTCCAGGTCATCGTTTCACGCTTGTCAGTTTTAAATGTTTCATCCTCAGATGAAGATTGCTCATTGACATCTCGTTGAATAATGGTATCAGGCTCATCGGTCATTTGGGTTGCCGACTCAAAAGTCCATTCCATTGTCGGCGGACGGGGTCCACGAGGCTGAAACTCTTGAGAGGTACTGCTAGAACTCGACGAGTTACGGAAGAGGCGGGCACTAGAGCGATTTGCTCGAATGGTATCAGGGTCGGCTAGTTGAAATGGAGGGTTGTTGGAAGCGGAACCAGCAGCATAATGAGCGGATTCATAATCTCCAAGATTAATATCAATAAACGTTGATGTAACTGATGATCTGTCGGTATCAGTACGAAGAGGCAAATCCGAGGCGCGTCGCTGCTTTTCTTGCACAGGCACAAAGTCATTTTTCGTTTCATATTTATAATCTGGTTTTGCCTCGTCGAACAGTCCCTCCATCGCTGCGGCGCCGCGTTTCACACGTTCATCAAAATTCGCTTTTTCATCTGGAGTCATGTTGGGTTCTTGGCCTAATACATTAGGAGCCGATGTGAAATCTTCGTTTAACGCGGCTAGGGAGGCAGAAAGTAAATCCAAGTCAAGTATCGAATGGCGCTTCTCGAAGCCAGCGGTGGTGCTGAAGTTCCAATCCTCAGTTTCTAAAGTGCTCGTGGGATCTGGCATTTCGGCGGCTACTGCACCACCTGGATTGAACAGGGAAATTCGTTGTCCACCTCGTTGTGACCACTGGTAATACATGCGGACTAACTCACTAAGGGTCTCAGTGGGATGTGTCTCGCGTGTCTCTGCAATATAATCATGCTCTAGAATGTCCTTCATTGTGGGACGAGTCTTCGGGTCTGAAGTGAGTGAATATGACACTAGCGAGCGCAATTTTTCTGAGTAGGCGTCACCCTCAAGCTTTGGAGTGAAGCGGTTGAGTTGGCGCCCAATTTGCATACGCTCAAGAAGAGTTGCGTTGGGGGGATTCCCTGTAGCGCACTCGAATAAAGTGCAACCATAGGCCCAGACATCAACCTACGACGTAGTCAGTACTTTGATTCATATTTATTACTCCAATACTAGTCGTATACTCACTTCACTTCCATATTGGTGGGGCTCCACGATTCTGTTAGGGAACATCTCTGGTGGCATCCAGTGAGGAGTACCTATCCAAGTTGACCTTTTATCGAGTTTCGTTTGAAGCACTCCAGCTACGCCAAAATCGCATATTTCCAGCCTTCCTTCTTCGTGGATAAGAATGTTTGCAGCTACAAGTCAGAATTTTGTTAGCCTTATTCAATAAAACTCTTTTGATAGTATAGCCCAGAATGTTTTCCACATATTTCATAGACGTTCCTATCATGGAGCCCCAAAAAATAAATCAATCTTGTTTGCATCGGTTGAGGAGCATTGAAGCATAGCCTCATCACAAGCGACATTCACCTGGGCTTTCATAATACCAATTCAGAAAGACGTCCTCCGGATCCTTATTGTCACGCCTTTTGTACCTTTTTTCAAACATTGAAAAGAAAAACAGATGTTTGCTCACCTTTCACATCGCGATGAATGATTCCAGCATCATGAATGGCTTTTAAGCCTTCAGCTAGCTCCCTGGCAATAGGTATGATGAACTTCTCTTCTAGTTTATCTCCAGTTGCTCGCATCTATAACATCCATCTATATTAGCCGTAAAGTTTTAAAAATATGACGCCTCAACAAAAATAGATTCATGATAACAAATTTGACATCGACAATGCAAGGTTCCCCCGGGAACATGCTTCAAGGCGAAAGAAAGATAGAGGATACATACCAAAGTTTTTACACTGCCACCTGGACAGTATTCACAAATTAGCCACAGCTGTGAGTGGATTGAAACCGCCTCAATGAACATGTTAATATTCTTTGCTCCCGCATCTTTAACTTGTTGCAAAACTTTGGTTTCATGAATAAAGTCTTTGATAGACTCATCTTTCATGTCTCTGACAGTTTTGTAATCAAGCTTGTCAATATCCATCACTTTGATTGCAACGAGCTTTTGGGTTGATAGCTGACGCCTATAGGCTGTTAGCTGAAACTCAGGAGTTTAACCAAATATCATAGAGACTATACCCTTTATACACCCTCCCATACGATCCTTTTCCAATCAGTTCTTCGAAGGTATATGGGGGAATATCGGTTCTTGCACGTCGACACATTTCAGCCACGGCCCCCGCTTGTTCTCGAGCTAATCTCATGGCTTCTGATTTCTGTTTGGTCAAGGCCATCATGGCCGACGATGGGTCAAGGAACCTTGAACGATCCATTTTTGGCACGGGTGGAGACTCTAAGGTCGACGAAAAACCGACGTCCGGGGGTTGCGAATGAGAAGGACTACGCCTGAAAAATCTGCTTGGGAGACTAGGCCTCCGTTTGCTTGAACCAGATTTCTTCCTTGGTTGCTTCGGAGAATTATCGTGAGAATCAGGTGAATTTCGGGATTGGAACAATTTTTTAAAGGATTCGGCAAATCGATGGATGCTTTTCTTACGAGGTCTGGATGCCCCAAGAGAAGTAGGGACGCGTTCCAAAGAAGTTGTTGACGTGTAAGGAACGGTCGGAAATGGAGAACTACTTTCGCGTCTGTCGGTATCCGCAGCAACGCAGGGCTGAGGAACTTCTCGTCGATTAGAAGTCGAAGGCTCGATAATAATTTGCGGGTTCCCGGGTTTCAACTCGCCAGCCGGCTCTGTGGCCCGCCGTATTACTGGAATTCGATTTGGAAGTTCAAGGCTTCCGTGTGAGTCTGTAGCACCAGGGAAAAAATTGAGCGGATCGAATCTTTCCCGACTACTGAGAGTCTGGAAATGGTGGGGGTGGGGAAATTCTGGGCTATGTTGAGTGGAGCGACGGGGTTTTGAAGAAGCAGGGTTGAAAGAACGAAGCTTTCCAACTCGAAGCTCTGGCGGTTCCTGACTGGGGATAGGCCGAGAAAGGTACGAGAAAGAAGGTGAATTCGAATGTGTTTTGTGAGAGCGAGGGTAACGGGTGTTCTCACAGCTTTGCTCGTTCCGTGCGAAATTGTTTATTTGCTGGGATTGGACTTCTGAGTCGTCAGAATATAAAGAAGGGGTATACTGGTTACGGTCTTGACCCAGTCCTTGGGGAGACGAGCTACCACTCTCGTCAAATTGAGATGTGATATCTTCCAAGGAATTTGACCACCCTAGTTCCGCGTCTGCAAGGAGATGGCGCTGTCCATCAACCACAGCATCAGTTTCTTGAGGGTAAGGCTCTACCTCTGGAGTAGTACTTGGCAGTCCCCTTTCTTGGGCATGGAACCGAAAATCTTGCGCAATGTGACCCTGCTCACGGTTGGCGTCGTGATATGCTTGACGAAGATTTGAGTTGGGTCCTTGGACTCTTAAACGAACAAACCGATATTAGCACGCAATGCAACAACTCAAGGAAAAATAGTAATACCTTAGGGTGGACCTTTCCCGATTGCCAGGAAGCGAGCTCTCTGATCATCACGAATGTCAGCCGGGGATGTAGTGCTTCAATGACCGATGCCATTCGAGTCACCAGGGCGATATGGATTAGCTCACCTGGCCTGGTTGTACAATGGTAGTGCCTTTGCTGAGGAGCTGTATTTTCGGCAGAATACTCTTCAAGATCCGACCCAGAAGAGAATGGATTATATTCCTCGTACGAATAATCGGGGTGAGGAGGAGGAAGTTCTTTAACAGCACCTAGTCGATTGAGTTAAGTCAACGAGAGCGAGAATTGAGAATGAATTCGATTGCGATATACTTACGATAATTAGATGGTTCGTCCCTACGAGATGAGTGATCCTGGGGTCTAATCAACACATAACGTCAGCCAACGGTTCATGAACTATCGGCCGGTAAGGCAAACCGAGAGACGGTGTTACGCCGAAAGGCTCTGTGATGGGCATCCATTGTTAAACACTTGGTGCAATAAATCGGAAGCTTGTTTGGGAAAGCTAAGAAAAGGGGCAAAGGCAACGAGTATGACGAGAAGCCAAAGTCGCTAGGAGTAAGGCAATAAAGCGGATGATTGCTTGGTGGGATTCTTCATGCAACTTGGTGTAGGCTTGAAGAGACAGATGGAAAACAAAGCTAGGGATGAAGGGAAGAGAAAAATATAAAAAAGAGAGAGAAAGAGAAAAGAAACACTGTGGAAAACTAGCGAGGAAACCTTCATACTTATGTGTCAAGCTGAAAAGCCAAATTGGGATGCTTCAAGCGAGGCGATGGGTATGAAGCAAAAGGAGTATCTTGAGATTATTGGTGAAGTTCTCTCCAGGTTCAATGGAACCCGGATTCCAGGAGAACTACGGCCGTCAAGAGGAAATGGAATATATTGCCGGATGCTACAGCATGAGCCCGAATAGATATGACCTTTATCAGCCACAGCTCAGACTTGTAGCTCCCAGGATCAGGGGATCGCGAAGGCCTTTCGAAACAACCCTATGGGTGCCACGGTCTTCCTAGATGGACTGCTCCTGATGGAAGGATCCCTCACAAACCACGTGCCAAACGAATTTGGAAAGGCGTAGCCCTTAGCGTGAACGTTAAAGACAAGAGCCGACACTAAGGCCAACAATGAAGGGGATTGCCAGTTGTGTGAACCGGTGTTCAACCTATGACGTTGGTGCCTAGGGTATATTCCAGTATAACAGTGTGTCAAGTCGTAGCGGTCAGGGCTGGTAGGAGAATTGCTACCACCAACGGAGCTTTGCAGAAAGTCTCCCAATTCAACCAGCAACACCTGTGAAAAGTGCCGATTTGGATAAGTAGGTTAAAACCCTTGACGGCCGACTCAGTCGATAACAGTCCAAGATTGCCTGTGGATAAATCATCAGCAAATATCGTTGTATATTTCATGCCCAAACATCAAGAGCTGCAAATAATGGCCATCAAAGAGTTCTTCTGGGAATATTGGGCCCTACTGATAGCCCCTTAAGAGCTTTGTTCAAGATGAGACCAGGTATATCAGAGGTATAATGGCAGATCTGGCACAAATCAACTTCCATCAATTTTATAGACTATACAGCATAAGCATGTACTGAACATCCTACGGCGAAGCGCCAGCCAGCTGACTTCTGTAAAGCAGGCACGATATGATGTTTGCGCAGGTGAAAAATATACGAGTTGATACCCGTTCAAGGTATCAATCCTTACTCCATAATGGACACCAAATGAAAAAAGAAACTTGCGTCCTTACCTCGTGAAGCGGTCAAAGTTACCGTCTGATGAGTGATAGAAGGAGAGAATAAAAGGTAGAGTATCGAAAAGAAAACACAAGCGAGGTAAAATCAATCTTTATGCCCCAATAACGCCAGTCTATTTTCATTCCATCGTCGAGAGGAAGAAGATCAGAACCCCCTTCTCAGCCCGGATTATCAAATCGGACTTGAGCCGACGTCCAAATTTCCTTTCTTGGAAACGGCAGAGGTTGTCGGAGCGGGAAAACTATTGGGTCCGATGCGTGTGGATCTGGCTGCAAAATACGATTGGCCAAGGGGATCATCTGCTTGCCATCCAACTTTGAGTGCGTCTCCCAGAAGCAAGCAGACCGAATATGAGCTTTTCTCTCCAAGGCAATATAAGAAGAAATAGTAATGTATGATTATTATGGCCAATCTATCTCAAGTTTGACTTATAGTTTCACTTATTTACAAACGGCTAATCTGGCAAATATCAGCGCAACCACGCCTATAAAAGGAAGCAAATATCCAATACCACTAGGCAAGAGTGGGTAGTAATCAAAAATCCATCATTTGAGTTCAAATTGCGCCCTCAGAGTATCTCCAAATCGCTTAATCGCCTGCTGGATTTTATCGGCGGGTGCAGCCGCGAATGTTGCCCGGAAGAACATATCCGTTGGCTCTTTGGACGTATCTGCCGCGAACCAAGTGCCACGGCAAATCAAAACGCCCTCATCCACTGCCGCTTTAAAGATGGTTTCTTCAACGCAATCATAAGATTTTCCTGCGCGAGCAAGTGGATGCTTTCTCCAATCGACTTTAATCCAGTGCTATTGATGGTTTAGTCTCAGACCAAAAGTTGGTACAACCAGGGCTCAAGTGACTTACAAACATGCCTGCCGCTGGAGGATGCCAGGATGCAACGCTGGTGGGCAAAAACTTCTCACAGGCTTCGAGCATAACGTTCCTTCGGCTGGTGTATCCCATACGAATATGGATCAACCACTGCAGGTATTTCTCATGGCCCCAAGCCTCATCTAGCAGCTTAAACAGAATGATCTGGGACATCCCGCTTGGATTCTGCGTAGAAGTCTCAGCATTTCGAAGGAATCGCTCCACAATCTGTTCGGAAGCAACAAGCCAACCGGTACGGGAACCCGGTGACAGGACCTTTGAAAAGGACTCGAGGCGTACGACGCGCCCATCCACATCAAGGCTGAGGAAAGACGGGATAAGAGCCTTTAAAAATTCGTTGTAATCGGCCGGCGGAGGATCTTGCGGCGCATTCGCTCCTTTATATGGCTGCATTTGGAGGAAGTAGTATGGCTCGTCTTCCACAATAATAATATCGTGCTTTTGCGCAACTTTGTACACCTCCTTTCTTCTCGAAGCATCTTGAGTCGCGCCTGTCGGATTTTGTCCGGATGGCACAGTGTAAAGCACGAAGGGCTTTCGAGCGCCACGTGCAGATACGTCCCAGTTGCTCAGAACCTCATCGAGGGAGGAAGGAAGAAGTCCCTGTTCGTCCATTTTGACCGGGGCTAGGCGAAGGCCTTGGGGCAACGCCGTCTCCATAGCACTAGCAAATGAATATTCCTCGGTCAAGATATAATCCCCACGGTTGCAGAATAAACGGAGCACCATATCCCACGAAGCCGTGCTACCAGCAGTGAGTGAGCATTGCCAATCGGAATACGGCGGGTTATGAACTATCTGTTTCAAATGTCAGCTACCATACGTACTGTACTGAAAAAGGCAATCTCAACCGACCTCAGTATGCTCTGTGACAAATCGCAATAGCTGTGCGGCTCCAACTGATTGACCATAATTCAAGGAAACCTCCAAATCTTTTGATACAAACGTTAGCCGGCCGCCCAATCATCGTCATAGTGAGCCCTTGAAACACACCGTATTCACTCTTTCCCTCTCGAATGTCATATTTGCCTGCCGTGAGAACCTGTCCTGACTCGCGCGTCTCTTGCTCCGAAAAGTTTGGCGCGACTGGGACTTTGATTGAGATTTCGTCGAATGGGAAATATTCAGCCGAAGGGAGGCCTCCGCCAAGCGATATCAATCCTAATCCACCAGAAGTGTGTTAGAAGAGCTCACGAGAATAAGTGATTAACAGTGGGATTTGTCGTACCTGGATTGTCCAAATAATGCGCAGCCTGCTTTAGGGACGACGCCTGTACTCAGGATGGTTCAGTGTGGGCCTGACTGGGCTACATGCTGGATGTATATACCTTTCGCGATTTGCTTTCGACCGAAATATACTCTGCAATTTCATTGAGTTAGTTGGAAGCTTCGTTCTGGGAACATCTGCACACATACTATCCCATCGATGCGCCTTTGGTCTCGAATAGCATGCCTACGGTAGCATCATCGATTAGCATTCGTGCCCGCACCGGATCCAACTTTGGGAAAAAGCTAATTACCAGACTCTTGAACATGTCACTATGACAAGACGCAGCAATGCCGGTCGGTAGCATTGTCTTTGCTCTTCGGGCGGGTACGCCGGCGACGGTCAAGGGCTCCGGCATTTCTCCAGTAATATCCGCAACATCGCGTGCAGCAGCATCTTGCGCGGCGTGGGGAGACATGATGGACTGGGACGGTTGACGAGTAGGTAGCTATGCGAATGATTCCGTAATCAGGATGCTTGCAAGTATCGAAACTTGGTGGTCGTCAGACGAGGGGGTTGAGGCGAATTATATAAATCTTGCCCCAGAATAGCCGGTCCAGCTTGTCAATGCACTCCGCCCTATGATCAGGTGGGCTTGCACCAACATTCCACCTGCATGAGTGGATCGATTTCAATGGCTTCATTGTCCCTCTGGCCCCCTCAGCCCGCGGGTCAGAGACAGTGATAGGCTTAGTTAAGCCGTGGGCTACGGAGGAAACCAGCCAATCTCACACACGGCTTCGGGACTCGGAGTCGAACATTCGGGCCTTTCCATCGTGCTGACTCCGAGAGCCCGCGTTTAGCCAACGATCCAAAAAGCATAAATAGCAACCGTCTCGTCCTCGAAGCGCGGAGGATGCGCCTCTCTTGACGACTGAATTGAAGTGACTCTCTGGCTCTGGGCCGATCTCGGGGTCCAGGTGCATGGATGGGGCCGAAAAGCCGGTAACTACCATGCTGGTGAGCTCAGGAGTTGCCGAGTATCGCTCCATTTGAAACAGCCATGGCGAACAACGGGGAGGACTCGAGATGGAGATGGCTGCCACCATGAATTCAACAGTTCCTTTTGGCGTCTAATAAACGAAAACGAAGTCTTGAATTCAAAGCGAAGGATGCTAGCTGGTTTCATTAGCCATCCTGGATGGGTACAGGCGGCAAACCCCGGTCATTGCTAAAGCTTTGCAGCTATTATTGGACAGGCATTGTTCCTTGTGATCAGATGGACATCGCTGACAAAAAAATTTTTAAATACGATTGCATCCAGATTTCTCCCCATGCAGCTCTACCCTGGAAATGCGGAGAAGCCAAATTTTTCGAGGATGGAACCCTTCAATGAACGAATTTGAATTGTCAGATGAAACTATTCAGATGAAACCGTGATGACGGCGTTCTAGAAATTGATCAATTCGCCGTTAAATATCCAGGGCCCTCCTCGACATCTCACTATGTTTTGGACGGGATCACCTGCAGACGTACTCCGTACTAGCTAGTGCTATGGGCTTGCACCAAGGGTTCTCCTCAAAATCGAAATGACGCGCGATAATTGACGTTCATGCAGTTCATTACTAACACAACCAGTCGGGATTCTCGTCGATGTAATCGTAGTGCGGAATTCATGTGCGGAGTCCATACGGAATGAGAACCCCTGTGGATGCCACGTCGAGGGTATGGAGCCCTGGTTGGACGACGAGCAAGAAATGCCGTTTGAATACGGAGTGATGCTGGTCCACTTGCTGTACCTTGACTCCATCACAAGGCTTAAGTTTAGTCAACGCCTCGAGCTAGCGGTCAACCGTCCTCTGTAGTTGGTCTTTGAGGGCATGGCGGAGATCATGTTCTGAACCGCCACGAGTCAACATATAGGGCTCTCAATCCGGCCAGTCGTGTGGAGCGCTGGAGGCCCGTCGCAGTCCGGGGTCAAGGTTCACGACGGCACCCTTGCCTCCAGCCATGTGTGATGCGCAATCGCTGCTCGACCGTATTCTCGATCCGCAATCTAATCATCCCAACCCGCAGCTCAGACTCCAACGCCAAGCACCTAGGCCCCATGTCTAAGCTTAAAGGGGCTTAGAGCTCCTGATAAATGGGCTCTTATCTGCGATCTCGTGGTTGACTGTTTCTTCCTCTCCTCCGCTTTTTCAGCATGTCAACTCATTCTCGCCCATTGGCACACCCGCTGCGAGGCTGATGGCTTTTGCTTTTTGTGTTTCTTTTGCGTCTGCTGAGGTGAATCTGTAGCCGGTGCATTGTGCACAATTATGTCCTCCCCAGAGCAGAACGCCCGGGTGTCTGCTGACGGCGGAGTAGTTAAGCGGAAACGTTGGTCACTCTCCTCATCCCCGCGTTTGATGTTTACACCAACCGCTTCCATCCCAACTCCTCGACACCCCTTTCTTGTATCGTCCTAACTAACGTCTCTGCGCTCAATTGCATAGGCCCCGCTGCCTGTGTCCATTGCCATCAGCGAAAGGTTCGCTGCGATGCGAGAACCGTCGGTTTGCCGTGTACCAATTGCCGGACTGCCGGCAAGCATGATTGTCGGATTCACGAGAAGAAAAAGCGGGCTGCTGTCCGGTCTCTGCAACATCCAGTCCCCATCCGCTGTGCCCCTGTCCCAGAGAGAACTGCCCTTCAAAACCATCAAGAATTACCCACTCCACCGTTCAAACCCCCTACTACCACACCCCCTTTCGTAGATGGCCAAAAACATAAACCGGAACCAACGGAGACATCACGACTAACTTCCAGGAGTGAAGGCACTGATGTGTCCCTCGACGAGGAGGATAATCGCGAATCCGACCGCCATCTGGTTAAATTGATCGATGAGGACCTGCGCCAATGCTCGATCAAAAAAGGGGTAAGAGTTATATACGTTGGCCAGGACGTGTCCAACTTGAACTTCTTGCTCCGGCAGCATACAGATAAAGACGACGAAGTGTATCATTTTGCACAAAACCAGATTTCACGAAGATATCTTCAAAATGGATTCGAACACGTCCCAAGAGAGGCGTTTGTCCTACCAGAACCGGCCCTTGCAGACGAGCTCGTCGAAGCATACTTCACCCACGTCAACCCTGGCTGTCCCATTCTCGACGAAGAGGGCTTCATGGCCCAGTACAAGCGACGGGATCCGGCAGATGCACCTTCCTTGCTGATCCTACAAGCCGTCCTCCTGGCCGGTGCCCACGTTACTCGCCCACGTCCCGCGCGTGATACATTGAAGGCGGCTTTCTTCCGCCGTGCAAAAATGCTGTTCGAGGCACGGGTAGAGCGCAATCGAGACATTCTAGTGCAAGCTGCTCTCCTCCTTACATGGTATTCGGACCCAGTTGATGATGACGTCGCTGCGAATGCACATTTTTGGGTTGGAGTGGCCGCGAGGATAGCCACAGGACTCGGAATGCACCGCAATTCCGGCCCAAGTATGTTCGTTCCGCATGATAAGCGTATGTGGCGTAGAGCATGGTGGATTTTAGTCCAATTTGATGTACTGGTTTCCTTGCAGTATGGTCGACCGCAAGCTATGTAAGATTCGCTTGATGTCCAAATGCAGTTACAAGCCCTGCTGACCTAGTGCCCGCAGAAACCTCGAAGATTGTGATGTTCAGCCTTTGACTCCATCAGATTTTGAGGGTTGCGGCGAGCGTGTCCAGATTGATTACGTGATCCAGTACACAGAGCTCTGTTGCATGATCTCGTTCATCATGAGAGAGCGTTTCGGCCTGCGAGTCACTCCTGAACGTCGAAAAGCGGCTCTTCTAGAGGCCGATAAAGCCCTTGCCGATTGGTCTCTTAAATTGCCTGACAATGTTCGGATGTCCACTGCGGATGTGGATTCATGGCCCGCGCTGCTCCATCTTACGTACAATAATTTTCTTATTCTTTTACATCGGCCTCATCCCAAAGCATCCGCATACTCGGATGATTACGGTCCCAACGATGCCGAAATTTGCAGCGCAGCGGCCAGTGTTATTGTTTCCATCTTCGAAGAGCTACGAGAAAAGGATCGAGTAAAATATCTTTGGGTTTCAGCAGTGAATTCTCTATTCACGGCAATGATTCAGATAAGAGTGGAACTTCGATTTTCCAATCCAGTTTTAGCAATAAATGCCCTTCGACGGTTCGATTCAACATTGTGCTCCTTACGCACACTTGCAGATTATTGGCTTGGCGCAGAGACGATTTTGCGGCTATTCGAGAGCTCTAAACGTTTGAAACACGATATGGAGATGGTTAAAATGAAACAGCCAAATATGCCCAAGGACGGAGAACCCGTCATAAAAGGATCGACCCAATCCACCCCGCAGATGGACATACCCACTCCGCAAGGGCAACAATTACAATCATGGTACTCAAAACCGCACCTAAATGAACGGCTTAACTACTTTGCCAAGCAAACTCCCGCACCTACAGTCGATAACCCAGCACAAGCAGCTCAGTTGGGTGAACCTGGCGATTGGAGGCAGTTATTCTCAATTGTCGATTCGGAGCCTTGTGGGCCTTTTATCCCGGAAAATCTAACTGATATGGAAGATGAATGGCGCGAGCTATACCTACACGAACCGGGAATGGCGGACTATTTTCAGGATACTGCATGGCTTCCGAGTTGAGTAATCTCGAATGCTTTTCGACTATGTCGTGCCGTTTTCCCTGGTCGGGTTGGATCAACGAAAATAACGGGCTATCATTGCTTGATGATCGATTTTGAGGGTTTGCAGTTGTTCACCAACCGTTGCAACCCGATTTGAAAGTAGCCTCGCGATCGACCCGACCTGGGAGTGCTCCACTCAGCACCTCACCGAGTGGAATTAGAAGAAGTATTAGAATTTGAATGGTATGGTGCGTTCGGATTGCACATCATGTCTGACTAGTGCTAAAACGCTATTCTAGAGATCATTAGAAAGCTTCAGCCATTTCGATCGTCTTTCAGACTTCAACAATGCGGTCACCAGACATGCGTGACCTACCCGAATTTTCTATCACAGATTGGAACTTGTTCGGATGTATCCCTGATGATCTATTGGTGTCTAATTTAAGTTGCCATGATCTGCCGTTCTGAAAGTTTGTTGAGAGTAAGCTCGTTCCGCTCATAACTTGTCAAGGATAGTTCCCGATCTTTCCATAGTTATGCTTCATAGATCCCTCAATACAAACGCTATTTATCGATGTGACGGCTAGTCAACGACTGAGCCTAGCGGTTTTTGCCGCTATTTTTGGATGCCTCCTGACTGTCCCTACGACTGCGGTTCTTCCCTCCATGCTTATATACCCACCAAGCCCAACGATTACAAAAGCCAACTGCTACTTTTCTGATAGGCAAGCGCTGCTGACGTTTGGAAATTTGTTGATGGATATTCAGAGGAAGCCGTTGACGCGGAGATGCAAGAATGGTAGAGGACTGTCACATTGGATTTTTACCATGTCATCAGTGCTAGTCATGATAAATCCAGTTGTCTTCTTTCCTAGCCGACCGGTGCTTTCCGGTTCGATGAATCACCGCTTTGCCTATAATTCTGTTCAAATAGAGACAGAACTACCCAGTTGACCTGACATGTCCATGATTCGCTCCTTCCCGGAACTTTGTGTCGAATAACTCGGAAGGCTCTTGTCACTTGACTTCCAGATTGTCAATGGAACCTTCCCCTACTAGCTTATAAAACTGTTAGGAAATCCTTCTTTTACGAGTTTTCTCTTGTCTACCTATTCTCTCACAGACCCATGTTGTTTTCATTTTTGGTGAATAAACCCAGCAATAACTCGGAGCCGAGATCTTGACCGAAGAATCATGGCGGAGCCAGCGAACCCAATTGTCACACCATCCAGCATAAGCGGACACGTCCTGAAGCACGCAAATAAAGATAAAGAATTCTTTTCCTTCTGTCCCCCAGACGTGCAACCAAACACTCGACTTTAAGGATAATGCCTCCCCCAAAGGGGATTGATGGTTTTCACTTCCACCATCTTCTTCAAAATTCACGTAAGTGACGGCCTCTTAAGAGTGTGATTGTGTGTTACTACAGACCAGTTGCTAACATTAATAGATACTTTCCACGCGTCGAATCAACTATGGTTCACCTATGTTGAACCACGATTTCTTGTGACGAAGTATGGTGAATACGTATGGAGGTCGCCGCCATAAATATTGGTCCCCTTGAATCCTTGGACCTTGGCACACTTTCGGCGTTCGCAGGCTTTAGTTTAGGGGTGATCTTGCGGCGGTAAGGGGGGTTGGTCTCTGCAGCCCTACAAGTTAAGGACCGCTAAGCAGCGCCGAAGGCTTGGGAGAGGCCCTTATACTTGAAGGACCAAAACATATGGCGGCGACCTCCGTACATGGCAGCAGGTCTGGCGACCGTAGAGTTGTCCTAGATGCAAAAAAAAACTGGAGCAAATTGAGTCAAGTCACACAATCCGCGTTATTCCGCCGAAGGATCTCCTAGAGCGTTTTTTAGCGACGCTAAGACCAGAGACAAAAATTGCAGTTCAGGAAAATCAGCAGGTGCTACTGTTCATATTTGGACATGGAGAAGCAGATTCCTTTGGGGTGTCCATAGGAGGCAAAGGCCCTTCTGACTATGCACCGCGACTTACCAAGCAAAAGTTACACGAAGCCGTTCACCCAAGTGTTATTTTACCTAACCCTGGGATGACAACATGTTATTCAGGGGGGTGGCTTATAAAGCCATACACGGATTCGTTCCTCTCTGTGGTAAAGAGACTTAACGTGTCGGGTATGACAGCTGCTAGTCATGAGTAGGAGAGCAGAGCGCGGGCATCAAGCGCCTCGTGTGGGAGAGCAGGGGGCTCTGTTTACGCGACTGCCGTATTGAATGCACTGGTGCAAACAGCGGAAATTCACTGGGTGGACAAAAGCGAAGCAATGAGCTGTCCGACATATATAAACCTGTGCGATACGGTCCACGAAGCTTACAAGGAATCGGGCCAATTTTTTGGTATTTCACGGAGCGTCATTTGCAGCCCGGGACGATATGTGGGGATTAGAATGGAGAACACGATCGGGATTTCCGTTCCCTGACTACCGAAAGAAGTGGGAGGAGCTACGCCAGGTTAGCCCTGGCCAGCCAGCACTTGATAGCGTACCAACGCTGGGGTTTGCTGGTAGCATCGGGAAGGGGTTCTACAATGTCGTGAGGGCGAAAGCAAGAGCCTACGGAGGTCGCCGCCATAAATATCGGTCCCCTTGAATCCTTGACACACTTTCGGGCGTTCGCAGGCTTGAGTTTAGGGGTGATCTTGCGGGGGCAAGGGGGGTTGGTCTTTACAGCCCTACAAGTTAAGGGCCGCTAAGCGGCGCCGAAGGCTTGGGAGAGGCCCCTATATCAAAGGACCAAAACACATGGCGGCGACCTCCGTACGTGGACTCATTCCCCGGCGCCGATAACCTGGCGCCGAACCTACCGCTTCACTATCGGGTCGGAGAGTTGCTAAAAGGAGCCCAGTTTCCGGAGGATGAGCTTATGAGCATTAATGACAGCTTAGACTATCGTCTATTTGCATTACAGCTCGCCACTCAATATACCGCCTTCCTTGACCTGGCATTCCCGGACGCGGCGTCGTTTGATGTGGAGAAGTGGTTTCTCCAAGCGGACAACCAGCGGCTGGAATTGTTTGGAAAGGTTAAAAGATACAATTTGGACCAGAAAATCTTCGATAAACCCAGTGAGTCTCAGGGTTGGTTCTACTGTCACCATGAAAGTAGATGGTCAAAGTGGTTAGCACAGAAGGACCCTTTCTGGAAGATTTATATGGAGTATGGAGTATGGGGTCTAGTATGTACAGAGTAACTATTACTATCAAGGCATAAAAAAAGGGAATAATTACATGTGCACCCCTAGGCTCTAGCCACCATTAGGGCCTGTTCGGTTCGAGGTCAAATTCTTTTAACAGACCTTATAACGGCTGTTGTAAGGTCCTTATAAGCTTATAAGGATTTCTTTTAAAAAATTTTTGGGGGGAGGGGGGTTTGTTCGGCTTCCGCCCGTTAATAAGCTTATAGCTATGGTAGTTAATAATAAATGGGCGTCTTCATAAGTTCATCCTGCTGGAATCACTCAACCAAACAATCTCTCAACATCTCAAAAACAAACCTTGAGGCATCATGGCGACGCAAGAAATAAATCCAAAACGACAGCAGGGTATGTCTAGTACTTTCTTTCCGCAATTCGCTATAGGCGTTTCCTTTACTCAATTCGAGTTGCGAGCTCTGTCAGCAACGGCTGATGTGATGGACTGCAGAGCTCCAGTTCCAATATTCGACATACAAGAACACCCTACAACAGCTAGCCCAGAAAATTGGAGACATTGAACAAGAAACGGAAGAACACAAGTACGACTTTTCATTTCTAGCCTTAAAACTCGGGTCCCTTCTCTTGTGATTGATCCGAACCCCTCTACCCCTCCAACCGCCCATCTTATAATTCTGAGATGACCTGAGCTGACTGTTACGGTTATTCATGGCATAGGCTTGTCATCGAAACTTTAGAGCCGCTCTCAGAAGATCGGAAATGCTTTCGAATGATAAACGGTGTCCTGGTTGAGAGAACTGTAAAGGACGTCGTTCCTGCGTTGAAAACGAACTCGGATGGCCTTAAACAGGTACTGGACGAACTGCTGAAGCAATACAAAACTAAACAGGATGAGATGGATAGTTGGAAGGTGAGAAACGCCGCCGGGCAATGCCTTTGTCGGCCATAGGGCTGCCGGTTCGCGGATTATCTTGCTAATTCGAAACTCGCGCGTTCAGAAGAAGAATAATATCCAGGTTGTCCAGCAATGAGCAACGACAGGAGATCGGTTTATTGAGCGATGTTACACCCTACGATTTCGAGTAATGCCTCATGACATCCCGGTTCCATGGAAAAACCCGTGTGATTCAGACGGCCTTTTTCGTCCGCATAGTTCCGGATTTCCGTGGAAAGATCGATCAGCGATAGTCCGCTTTTTACCCGCCGATAAGAGTACCCTCGATTTTCATGGATGGAGTTACGGTATTGATTTCGTGTCATCATCACAATTGCATTGTATTGATTGAAAGTATTTCGAGGAAATCTTTTCCTTTGACTGCACCTGTGCCTGACAGCTGGCACCGGTCAAAGGTGGGTGCCATGCTGGCGATATAGTCGCAAAAGTAATAACGAATATGTATCCTAAGAGGAAATGGAACATATGATCGTTATATACCGGCTACTGGTGAAGCTGTATCAGTGACCTCACTTCCGATATTTGCATCCAGGCGAGCATCTGCAGCGACTGAGTTGGCGAAAAACCGAAAAAAAAAAATACGGAATAGATGCCCAATAATTTAACGGTCAAACAACTTTTTTTTCAGCTCCTTAGCACAAACATCTCCAAGTCTTTTGCTGGTATCGGGAATTTGCAGCCCAGGCCCAGCACACGGTCAGAGCGAATAGGCTGGGCAGGAAAGGGCTGCAACGAGGCTCGTGTTGAATGATCTGGGTCATGCATGGCAAACTCGGCACCCATCCCTCGCGTTGAGATGCCTAAGGCGCCATTCCCAACTGCCTTGTGTCCCAATCGCGAAGGCGGTTGGCCCAGAAGTCAACAAGCTTGGTGGCCTGCGCCTCTTGTCCTCCGATAAGCAGCACGTTGTCTTAGTTTTGTGCCATTTAAGCAGCGTACCTGTCCAATTACTTCATTGATGGGGCCGTCTCCTGGGGCGGGAGTGCAAGGAGCCCAATGAGAGTGGACGGCGGCGTAGAGCCTGACAACCAAAGAGACAGCATCTCCTTGTCCACTTGATGATCAAACTCCAAACATCGCAAAATGCATTTACTCCGTACACTGCTTGCCTTCTCCAGGTCGGTTCCTCCTGAATCAACGCAGCTTCGCAACTGCTGTAGGTTTCCATACGAGTAATTACCAGTATCCAAACAAACATCCCCCAATACATTAATAAGCAATTCGCCGCAGCCGCCGTATGGAGGGCTGTAACATCCTCGTATGTGATATGCAGGCACAGTACGCCGATACCGTCATCAGCTCTCCATTCTCTCAATCGGGGGAATCAACGAACACTGCTTGCAGCTCCAGTCCTTTCGCAGCAGTTGTGCATTACACCACGTTGTGTTTTGCTTTTTCATCTCAAGCTCGTCCCATACCGGCCGTGCGACGCGCTCACTCACGCCTGCACGTATCGACCGCGTCGGGAGCCTTGATCCGCAACGTCGAACCCGTGTTGTAGTCGATTCAGCGTCAAGATCCCGCTATTCCCCTTCCACCGAACTTGACATCCCGAGGACTAATCACAGAGGTCAGTTGCGCGAATGCCGTTAGACTTTCTGCGGTTGATTCCCTCCACTCTGCCCAATTTTGCGGTCAGAATTGACCCAATCGCCGCCCAACTCTGTTGAGCTCTTTTCCCGCGATTTCTACAGCCAATTGCGGCAACGAGCACTGCACCTTTTGAAAGCGCATCTGGATAGGCTTCGTTACCCTTGGATCCGTGCAGGAACTGACCCAGTGACAGACACCGTCAAGGCACACAACCAACGAACTCACCCTTCCTTCCACGCATTCCCTGCAGTTTAGGCTCAACCAAGGCGGGCGTGAAGCGAATAGGCACCGAGTCAACGCCTCCTTTTTCTGACGCAACCGTGCATTGGGCTGATCGGAAGAAAGACCATTCGGATTCGACGACGAGTGACGTGTACACAAACCCTGTTATTACTGCTGGAGTTACTACCCGCTTGCGCGTATCCAAAAAAGACGTAAAAACCATGGCGTCGGCCTCTCCTTCAAATCCCAAGGAACCTGAGGTGGAACCAGGAACACAGTCGGGCGACGACGCGGAGCACATGGAAAGAGAACACCAAGATTCGCAACCGCAAACTCAGGGTGAATTTGAGGTGAAAGAGCAGGATCGATGGCTTCCGATTGCAAACGGTTCGTTATGGTCGCTGTTTTCTTTACGCGATTACAATTGATCGGGTGCAAGCATAGTTTCGACTTGCCTGTATATTCGATTTCGTTGGCGTCTGCTTGACCTTTCGCTATCATCGTGGGCGCCCAAGGTGTTTGCATTGAATGGCGCGTGATCGCGATTACATGCTTGATCCTCTGTCCTCCATTTTCTGAATGCTTGTTGGCGTCGGCTAAGGTTCTGAATGTTTGCCCTGTATCAACCCCGATGATAGCCATGCAACCACCTCTGTGAAGATTAAGTTCATCTATTCTGAGGCGTTTGGTACTGACATTCGAGTTCTATTAGTCGCCCGGATTATGAAAACTGCCCTCCCCGAGAATGCGAAGATTGCCAAGGAAGCCAAGGAGTGCATGCAGGAATGCGTGAGCGAGTTCATATCTTTTATCACCAGCGAAGGTTCGTGGTTGTTTCTGCCCATTTATACGCTGAAGTGTAATACTAATATTATCGGCCCTATAGCATCGGAGAAATGTCAGGGAGAAAAACGCAAGACGGTCAATGGCGAGGATATCCTATTCGCGATGACGTCTCTCGGTTTCGAGAACTACGCGGAGGCTTTGAAGATTTACTTGTCAAAATATCGCGAAGTAAGTATACTAAATCGAAAGAACCCATTTCATTTATCGTCTCGATTTGGCAAGACGAACTATCTGAACAATTGAATTGATTGGTTTGAGACCCAATCCTCAAGGGCGGAGAATCAGAACCGGCCCCCGAGCAGCGAATACCCTCAGGGCGGACCAGTCGGCGGCGCTGGCCCCCCAGGCGCCGGCGGCATTGGTGGGCCAGCGGCAGCACCCGGCTTCGCAGTTCCACCCGAGAATGCCAACAACATTTTGAATGCGAGCTTGGACCCGAACGAGCAAGACAGCGCAACATACGGATATCCGCCCATGGTAGGCGCGACGCACAATGGTGCCGGTGGCGAGACCTACTAGCATTGGCGAAGACACTTCCGGGGTCTAGCGTACGCTGGCAAGCTGCACATATGCTGAAAATGAGCATATGGCATCTACCTATTCCCCGCGCAAGACAGGCCGTGAGCGCGTGATGTGGGGCAGAGGAATGGATAGAGGAGAGAGACTCATTGGAATTATCAGGTTATAGATTCGAGGTGCTCAGAGCTTATGGGGTTGAATTGTATTTTGTGTCGCCAGACTTGACTTATCAGAGCGCGTGAATGTTTGTGGTGCAGGAGGGATCTTGGGTGTCCGGATCGGACCGTTGGTATAATATGGGGAAGCTGGCAGTTAAGGGTGCTATAGTTGCCCATCAACTAATAATCCACATTTTCTTGCTTAATATCCTCAATTCTCGCGTTATATGTTGAAGCTGATAGCTCTCCAGCTATCTCCCACTGATTGGGTGTAAACAGAACAAACAGGCTGCTTACATAACACGGTCGTTCGTAACCAGCTTCAAGAGGATTTGGTCGCGTCTGCAGCGTTGAAGATGATGAAATTCGGCTTTGGCTTGTCGATCTAGCTAGGTATCGAAATGGCTCGTGGAGATAGCCCGAAGCGCCGCAAGCTCGATTCAGATCGATATGAATCTTCGTCCCCGCAGCCCGGAGCACCCCCAAGACATGTTTTCCAACGGCGGAGGAAAGATGACGGCGGCGTATCCATGCCAAAAGGAATCCACAATGGTTCTGCAACCCCTCGACAACATGAGTTCGATGGCCCTGAACCCCTTGTCGATGACGAGGATGTTATTGCGTTAGACCGAGACTGGTATGCTGGCGACGAATTGGGCCATACCTTTGGCGATGAGACGCATAATCCGTTTGGAGGGGCGGACAGCTCGTGGGCGGATATGCAGCGAGAAGCTGCACTGTCAGAAAAGAAAAACAACCGTCGGTTCAATGCGCGCGCAGTACAAAAGCAAAAAGACGTTGATGCCTGGGAAACGAATCGGATGCTGACGTCCGGTGTCGCGCAGCGGAGGGATTACGATGCTGATTTTGAGGATGATGAGGATTCGACACGCGTGCACTTATTGGTTCATGATTTGAGGCCCCCGTTTTTGGATGGGAGGACGATTTTCACGAAGCAGTTGGAACCCGTGCCGGCAGTGAGAGACCCGCAAAGCGATATGGCGGTGTTTAGTCGGAAGGGTAGCAAGGTTGTGAAGGAGAGAAGGCAGCTAAGAGAGCGGCAGAAGCAGGCACAAGATGCTACGAACGTTGCTGGAACTGCGTTGGGCAACATTATGGGCATCAAAGAAGATGAGGGGGACAGCGCCGCTGCAATCCCAGGGGAAGAGGATCACAAAGGAGGAAGCAAATTCGCCAAACATTTGAAGAAGAACGATGGCGCGAGCGCCTTCAGTAAGAGCAAGACGCTCCGTGACACAAACGGGAATATCTTCCTGCATTCGCAGTGAGGGAAGAGCTACGAA